GAGGACAGGAGCTGTTGAAATGGGAAATCGGCCTGGCAGTCAGCAGTCTGCATCTGCAACTGCTTTGTCTTAAGCACCTTTCCAGGTCTTCAGTGTCTTGACAACAGAAGCATCCCTTATTTCATGCTCTCTCCTTCCCTGGGTGAACCTCCTAGCCAGATTTGTGGTTTGTCAATGGTTTTAATAACTTCCTATATATAGGCACACACTTGGAACCCTGGCTTCATAAAATGGCACCACAAAAGAAACCTGAAGCAAGATGTTCCCAGCTGCAAAGGAAAGGAGAGCTACAAAACAATTGCCCTGAAATAGCATCTCCCCAACCATATGCCTATGAGCCAGAAAGGCCACCTGCCCCCTTCTAGTAACTGAACAAGTGGCATCTCCTCTCCCCGACGGGAGCATTCTTTCAAGTGTACGTCTGGAGTTCACCTCTGCACAGAGCCAGGAGAAAGCAGTCACCATGAGAAAACACCGGGGGAGAAAACAAGGTGACCTGGGTCAAGGCTGCAGTTTCCAGCTCCCTGGACAGCTCCGTGTAGTCCCGCAGTGAGTTGGACACATGAGCTGTGTGTGTATTTGGGATAGGTGGGTTCACAGTTCTGCCACTGTTTCTAAATTACCATGGGAAGAAATAACCAAGCCCAGCCCCTCATAGATGTGTTACAGGATAAATAGTTCAGTTGGTCACTCATGTCTAACTCTTTGCAGCCCCATGGACTGCAGCACGCCAGGCTTCCCCATCCATCACCAACTCCCAGAGTTTACTCAAACTCATGTCCATCAAGTTAGTGATGCCATCCAACCATCTCATCCTCTGTCATCCCCTTCTCCTCCTGCCTTCAGTCTTTTCCAGCATCATGGTCTTTTCCAATGAGTCAGTTCTTCACATCAGGTAGCCAAAGTATTGGAGTTTCAGCTTTCAGCATCAGTCCTTCCAATGAATAGTCAGGACTGATTTCATTTAGGATGGACTGGTTGGATCTAAACCTAGGGAAATATGCTTTGAAAAACATATAAAGCAAATATTTGGTTTGAAAAATTTCTCTACTTGGATTACTGTAAACAGATGAGCAAAGTGGACTCAGTCACTCTGTTTGTTGAAAGCATTTATTTCTATATATTTATTTATTTGGCTGTGCTGGGTCTTTTTGCAGCATACAGGATTTTAGTTGCAGCGTGTGGAATCTTGGTGATTTTTTTTTTAGTTGTGACATATTGGATCTAGTTCCCTGACCAGGCTTCTAACCCAGGGCCCCTGCATTGGGAACACAGAGTGTTAGCCACTGGACCAGCATGGAAATCCCTCAATTGCTCTTAATGGAAGACAAAACGAGATGCTGTAAAGGGCGGATTCATGTGCCCTGCTTTTAGGTGTTAACTCACCTTCTTGTGGTCATCATTTTAAAACATACATATGCCAAATCATTCTGTTGCACATCTTACAATTTTACCATTTTACATGTCAATCATATCTTAATAAAGCTGCAAGAAAAAAATGAGCCTCACGGACATCTTGTGAAGAAGTTAGAAGCATTAGTCGTTCAATCATGCCCGATCCTCTGCAGTCCCAGAGCACGCCAGGCTCCTCTGTTCATGGGATTCTCCAGGTAAGATACTAGAGCAAGTTGCCATTCCCTTCTCCAGGGGATCTTTCCGATCCAGAAATCGAACCTGGGTTTCCTGCGTTGCAGGCAGATTCTTTACTTTCTGAGTCACCAAGGAAGCACTGCCCCCCCCCCACACACACACACACCGAAATCCTGTGAAGTCCTGTTAATTCCATTTCACAAAGGAGGAAATGGAAACGTGGGCTACTCAGTGATGCAGCTGACATCACCAGACTGGCACAGGTGCAGTGCAGAGGGGACCTTCTCACCTGGACAGCTCACGAGGGACCAGAAGTGAGGGTCACTGATTAACAGCTGACCAGGGGCAGATCTGCCCTGACGCTGGGCTGAACTCAATCCAGGGATGTTCTCGCAAATCCTGGCTCCCAGAAGGGGAAGGCTGCTGATCAGGGAGCTTCCAACATGCCTCCAGTAACAATCACGGTTGTGCCCTAAGCAGAGGACAGAATGTTTCCAAGCCAATACCAGTGTGGCTGAATCCACTCCTGCTGCCCACCTCTGCTGGAAGAGAGGTGAGCTTTATTACTGGTTCCACACAGGAGAAGCTCAGGTTCTGGAGGTCTCTGGGAAGCCCCTCTCTGTCATCATTTATCAACTATATAAATGCAGTTAGATGTTTAGATAACTGTTCTTTCTGGGGACCAGACCCAACGCTCCTGCACCCCCCTCAGGGCATTCCAAGAAAAGAACAGAAGTTCATGGAGAGGGGTCCTTGGGCTGCAGCCATCAGCAGGCAGAAATTTGAGGGTTGGCTGGAAAGCACCAAGGACAGCAGGCTGGGGCCTAATTATCTGGACTCTCACACTCTCTGTTCCTTCCAAACACACTGGAGCATCCTCAGACCCTGAGGAGGAAGCATCTCATCTTTGCAGGTCTTGAGATCTGACTTCCTAAGTAGCTCAGTAAGTAAAGAATCCGCCTGCAATGCAGGAGATGCAAGTTCTATCCCTGGGCTGGGAAGATCCCCTGGAGGAGGAAATGGCAACTCACTCCAGTATTCTTGCCTGGAGAATCCCATGGATGGAAGAGCCTGGCAGGCTACAGTCCACAGGGTCACAAAGAGTTGGACACGACTGAGCGACTGAGCACGCATGCACGAGATCTGGGACCAGAGCCCACACCACAGCTCGTGGCCCCAGGCAGGTCCCATCTTGGACACGAAAACTACCCACCTGGAGCCCACCATAGTTTGCCCTGGCCCCTCGTACCACATGCCGTGGCGTCTGCTCTGTCCCCAGGTGATGGCTCGTGGGAGCAGGAACTGCCCCACTGCCTGTGCACTGCAGGTATTGGAACAAAGGTATGTTGGAAGTTCTCCTGACTCTGCTGGTGTGTCTACAATCTGGAACTTTCTGCCCCACCCTCCAAGCACCCGGGGTTTATATCCATCTCAGTTTAGAACTAATGGAAGTGACTTTCTCTTCCCTCACTCTCATGCTGGGGCTTCATCCATGCGTTCGGTGACTCCAAAACCAAAGGGCTCTCAGAGCTGCACCTTGGGTGTGAGGCCAGGGGTGCGGGTGTGATCTGGGGGTGTGGGTGTGAGGCTGAGGTTCAGGTGTGATCTGGGGGTGCAGGTGTGAGGCCAAGGTGTGTGTGGTGAGGCCAGGGGTGTGGGTGTGAGCCTGGGGGTGTGGGTGTGAGGCTGGGTGCAGGTATGAGGCCGGGGTGTGGGTGTGATCCAGGGGTGCGGGTGTGAGGCCAGGGTGTGGGTGTGAGGCCGGGGGTGTGGGTGTGAGGCTGAGTGTAGGTGTGAGGCTGGGGGTGCGGGTGTGAGGCTGGGAGTGCAGGTGTGAGGCCGGGGGTGCGGGTGTGAGGCCGGGGGTGTGGGTGTGAGGCTGGGGGTGGGTGTGATCCGGGGGTGCGGGTGTGAGGCCAGGGGTGCAGGTGTGAGGCCAAGGGTGCAGGTGTGAGGCCGGGGGTGTGGGTGTGAGGCTGGGTGTGGGTGTGAGGTGGGAGTGCAGGTGTGAGGCCAGGGTGTGGGTGTGGGGCTGGGTGTGGGTGTGATCCGGGGGTATGGGTGTGAGGCTTGGGGTACAGGTGTGAGGCCGGGGGTGTGGGTGTGAGGCTGGGTGTGGGTGTGATCCGGGGGTGCGGGTGTGAGGCCGTGGTGCGAGTGTGGGGCTGAGGTTCAGGTGTGAGGCTGGGGGTGCGGGTGTGAGGTCAGGGTGGGGTCATGGGGCGACTCCTACCCTGGTCTGGACTCTCACTGAACCAGCCCCAGGGTGGTAACAGGTGATGATGGATGATGGCGCCCATAATGATGGTGGTCCTCAGGCCAGGGGGCTGGAAATGGCCCCCAAGCTGCCCCCAGACAGAGCTGAAGACCTGGATCCTTCCCACCCACCCGCATCTGCTGTGAGCACATGGCCCCCTGAGGCTGCAGGGTCCACACCCCCTAAGAGCTGCCCCAGCTCTGAATCCAGGAATGGGCCGGGTGACACACACTTGCTCACACATGGGCACAGTGAGCACATGGCCTGAACGGCGGCTCTGTTCTGTGCTCCCCGGGGGAAAAATGATGCCTCCCTGGCCTCGAGGAGTCCACATGGGGGCAATGCTAGCGATAAGGAAGGAACCATAACAGGAAGCAAAAGAAAAGGAAACTCATATTTATTGAGCACCTGTTGAGCTGGGCGAGTCATTCACACACATACACTCAACGCCAGAAGCTGGAGACACATGCTTCCTGGCTCTGGCCAGCACCCTGGCCAACTGCCCAGCATCAGACACACGGGAGTGGTCTCTGGACCCTCTCATTTCAAAATTAAAGTGAGTGAAACCAACAGAGGGGGCAGGGAGGAGCCTATCCATGGCTCAGAAGCCAAGTGAACACACAAGGGTGTCTTTTTCCAGGCCAGCTCCCATATTTCTGGTGCAGGTGCTGCAAGATTCCAGGAAGCAGCCTCCAGCCATGGGCAGTGTGTCCCTTCCGCAGGCTTGAGGCCTGGAAGCGCTGAGCTGCTCCCAGAGGACGGGTCTGCCCTCTGCTGCGTGCACCCGCCATCCAGAGCAGAGGCTGCGCCTTCCTTCTCTTTCTGCTTCACTCACTTCTCCTGGGAAGCGGCGACTGTCGGCTAATCTCTCCCTGGGCGACCTCTGGGCACAACCAAGAATAGAAGCCCATTGTCCTCATTTTCTTAAAGTCTCCTTTTGAGGAAAGAGGTAAGTTTGGCAAGTCTGGTCAGGGTTTCATAGCACCGAGAGTTTCCTTAGAATTGGCAGCTAAACTTCAATCGCGGACCGTCAGGAGAATGAGAAACGTCCTCTACCTCACAAATCAGGTTTCCCCAACTTCAGAGCAGAGGGGAAAAACTCGAGAAGCATTACCATATGAAATAACAATAATAATAATTAACAATAATAATATTATAATCTGACCGACCGGCAGCATCTGTTGGTTTTAATAATGTTGAGGTCTCTTAAGAAAAACAAGACACACAAAAAAACCACACATGATAAAAGAAAGAGAGAAAAAAAAAAAACACGTGGCTGAAATGTCTCAAGACCTCTGGCTTCCCATCGGGCTTTGCGTTCAAGTTTCAGAAATCCACCAGCGTCTCCTGGCATCCCGGCATCTTCTAGGGGCCCTTCACATTACCGGGTCGAGCAGCAGCGAAGCTGGCAAAGTAGGCACACTGCGAGGGGTCGCACTGGCCCGGGGGGCCAGGGGGGCCCGGGGGTCCGGGGTGTCCAGCTGGTCCTGTCTCTCCTTGAGGCCCGGGACTCCCGGGAAGCCCATCTTTAGCATAGCCAGGTTCCCCCGGCTGACCTGGACCAAGGAGCGAAAGAAAGAGACGGTGGTTCAAGTTCCGTCTGGAGCACACACGAGCCCTGATGTCACTACTTTCATTCACTAGTGAGCTGAGGATGCTACAGGCTCAGAGGAAACAGCCCATGGTCTGGGCGCTCTGCCTGGAGAGATGAGAATGGTCCCCGCAGACACCGTGCAGGCAACAGCTGCCCTTTGCGTCCGACACCCTGGGGCCTGGCCCCCCCCCCACCCCAGACTCCAGCCGAACCACTCCTACCTGGGATCCCAGGGGGTCCCATCTCGCCTCGGAGGCCAACTCCAGGTGCACCTGGGTCACCTTTGGCTCCTCGCTCACCTGGTGAGAAAAATAGGTGTCTTTGATGATGGAGACTCACGATGGTGGTGGAGGGAAGGAGCCCCACCATGGGGCTGGGGGGCAAGGCCAGCACTGTGTCAGATGCCTCACTCTCTGTTCACACACTCATTCGTGCACACTCACACTCAAGCACATGCTTACACTCACACTCAAGCACACGCTTGCACTCAGAAATATGCCCATGTGAATACCAAAATAGACAGCCCCTCCAAAACATTTGTTCAAATACACATAGGTACATGTAAACATTCACTCCAGTGTGATAACTACCAATGATACATGCACATATGTATATTCACACATACATTATACAAATATGCATACGCTCATAAACACATCAAATACAGACACCCAAATGTTCACACTCTCTCCTATACAAACACATATGCCCACACACATCCACTGACACATGCCTACACGTCCCCGTGTTCTCAAAGCATTCTATCTGAGCCTTTGTCTAGGAGGAGCTGGGAGATAAACAAACCTGAGTATACATAAGACACAGCCCCGTTCTTGAGAAGCGTGAATTCTAAGACAGATGACACAGGACACAAAGAACATTCTAATATGAAGCAGAATCAGGTAAGTGTTAATAATCACAGGAATGTAAAACCCTAACATGTTCAGAAGAAAGAGGGTTCATTCCCCCGGGAGCATATCTTGAGACGATATTGGGGTTAATACTATACAAACTTGATTAAACTGTCTCTCAGCTTTTTTGTTTCATCATTCCTTTTCTTTGATATGTTGTCTCTAGAATATCTCCTGTATGTAGTGTATAGTGTTTTCTTTTATAATCCAAATTGAAATTTTGCCAGTTCATGGAGATTTTAGGCCATTCTTATCTATTGTTCCAGTTACTATTTTCAGTCAGTCTTCTGTCACAGTCTGACTTTTCTATGCTTTACACTTTCTTATTGGCATTTATTTAGTATATTTTGTTTCATCAACCAACAGAAGACAGACTTTAAAAAAGCTCAGAAGGAGAAACATTACAAGGTGATGCTTCTCAGTGAATGAAAATTAAGGGGGAATCCCCGAGCGGTCCAGCAGTTAAGACTCCACACAGTCACTGCCTAGGGTGTGGGTTCAATCCCTGGTTAGGAAACTAAGATCCCACAGTGTGGTGCCCCGCCCCCCCCCACCCCAGAAAAGAACTAAGGAATGGGAGACTGAAGGAGGGAGACGTGGCCGCTGAGATGACAGCACCGCCTGTCCCCTACCCCACGCTTATTCCTCACCGGACAGAGGGGGTGAATGACCAGGCTGCTGAATTTGGGGCCAGGTCCTTCCCCGCCCTTCCACATCTGTCTGCCTGCAAAGACAATGCTTTCCTCTGTGCACTGGGCGCTGTTGACAGCGGCAGGCACTGCCATCCTTACAGGAGAGGCTCGCTGTGTCCAGCACAGCCATGTCCCTGAGAGCTGGAGAGCCGGCAGCCACATCCAGGTCTAGCTCAAACCACTTTATTCCCATGGAAAAGCGTTAGTCGCTGAGTCATGTCCGACTCTCTGCGACCCCGTGGACTGTAGCCCGCCAGGCTCCTCTGTCCATGGACTCCTCCAGGAAAGAATACTGGAGTGGGTAGCCATTCCCTTCTCCAGGGGATCTTCCCAACCCAGGGACTGAACCCTGGTCTCCTCCATTGCAGGCGGATTCTTTCCTGTCTGAGTCACCACGGGAGCCCGTGTACGGCTGGCATCTAATGCCCGTTTGCCTGGAGATTAAATGTCATATTCCTCAGTGACTTCTGGAAAGAGGAAAAAGACATCCTGTGAATTCCCCGGACCGTGAGCAGTGGAGACAGAGACCAAGACGGAAGCAGGAAACAGACACGCTCCTCCTGGCAGAAGCATCATTTTGCAAAAACATCAACTATGAAAACCTCTTAGGTAGATGAAGAAACCGTATGATGTCTATATGCAGGGTGTTAGCAGGCTGCAGGGGTGGGGAATGGGCAGACTCGTGCATATTCAGCGGGGCATGTGCTGTGCACGCTGGTTCCTTCTCTACGAAGCACCTCTTCCCAGCTTCTCACTCACCTTTGGGACCGATGGGGCCAGAGGGTCCCTCCAGACCCCCCTGCCCTGGCCTTCCTGGCTCCCCCACGGGGCCTGCCCGACCTGGAAGCCCATCTTTTCCAGGAGGCCCTGGGGGCCCGGGTCTGCCTTGAGAGGACTTCGTGTGTGCAGAGGGCATCTGGGCCAGGAGGTAGGCGAGTTTGGCTGTGGAGTAAGAATACCAGAGAGACGTTTCATGAAGGAGGGATAAAGGACCGAAGACAGGCCGGCAGCACACTGCAAAGCTCGAGGCAGTAACAGCTGTGAAACAGCAGCGACACAGACACACCAAGAGCGCGCTGCAGGGCGCGTGTCCATGTGGACACTGATCCGGGGCCAGGCGGCTGGGCTGGCATCCCAGCGCCACCCTGCCGGCGGCGTGGCCCTGGGCAAGCCACCTACCCTGTCTTAGCCTTCTCTGCCTTTTCTGCAAAATGGGGGCAGTGAAACGAGCCCCACCCCATGGGGTTGGTGGGAGGATGGAGCCGACGAGACGAGGCATCACAACTGCCCCAGCACAAGATCTAAGTGGGGCGTGGACGTCGCTGACCCCCTCGAGGCGGCAATGACAGCAGCAGAAACTGCTGCAGCTGTCAGGCTGGGGAAACTGAGGCCCGTGGGGGGAGGGTGAGACTTCAGTGGCTTACACAGAGCAACTTACGGACTTCTAAGTGTGGAATGCCTCATCTATAAATGAAGGGCTGGACGTGATGTCATTACTGATCCTTAGGTGAGTGAATTGTGAAGATCACAGGCCGATTCAAAACCCCAGAGTTCCAGCCTCTGGCCTCCACGCCCTCCTACTGCACTGGGAATACACAGCCCACCCCAGGGCCACCGGGGACTTTTCCTTTTTTTTCCAGACGATCAGGGCAAGCCCTTCACCTGGCAGGGGGAGTGACCCAGCCCAGAGAGGCAATCCTGACACCTGGGTCTCAGTGGTAAAACTGAAGCAGAGTCGGGTCTTCTGACAGCCTGGTGGGGGGGGGGGGGGCTCCTGAACAGCCCCTTCCCCACCCTCACATTTGAGGAAGCGGGAGGGGCATGCGCCAACCCGAGACCTGGGCACACAGCTGCTTGGCTCACAGCCCAGACGCCCTCATCTTGAACGTGGAGCGGATGCTTCTGATGCTTCCTCCTCACAAGATTGTTTAGAAGAAAGGACTCAGCTCAGCAGATGCTCCCTCTGAACTTATTCAAAACAGGGCTCGTCTCTGCCCAGGGGCTGGAAACTCCCCATGTGCCCGACAAATCTAACACCCAGAAGAAAGGCTGTCGATGGGCATGCTTGTACACAGGAGATCTCAGGACCACCCTGCCTGGTGGGAGTCCCCGTTCCAGCCTCTGGGATCCTTCCTTTCTTCACCCTCCTTACCACCAGCCCAGCTCTGTGCTGTCCTCTCCAGGGAATGGTCTCTGGTTCTCCTGGGCAGGGAGATGGACCACGCTCACTCACCTGGACACCCCAAGAGGGCAGTGAGAGAGTCATCGTGTTACGTGCTGTGCCCACAGACCCAGTGCAGAGTTTCAAACGTGCCAGGAGGAAAATTGCACTGAGACCTGACCACGTGAATAAGCGTGCCCATCCCTGCTGCCCACCCATGCCTGGGAATGGTGGTGGGTTTTCGATCTTCCTGAGCCCAGAGTGGTCTGCAACTTTCTTCTCCTAACAGTTTCCAACACAGAGGGCAGTGGGGAATGAGATGGGAGAGGATGTGGTAGCTAAGAGCCTGGACTCTGTAGCCCAGCTGCCTGCATGCAAACCCTGGTCAGACACTCACCAGCTCTGCAACCTCGGGTAGGTTACTTAGTGTCTCTGATCTTAACCATCATACATGGCTCACACGCTCACAGAGGCTTCCTTACGTCAGTAAACACGTCTGGGTTCTGAGAACTCCACCTGACATGGGGCTGGCCCTACACGCTGGTGCTATGACTATTACCTTCCCAACCCTCCCTTCCTGAATCCCTGCTCTGTATGGGGCTCATGCAAGACTGGGATTTCACAGTAAATCCTATACAGGAGAATTACAAGGAGTCTAGTTCCTTGAAAGCACAGTGTGTTCCAGCTCCCATTAGGGTCTCTGCACATGCTGTGTCCAAGCTCTGGAGTCTGGTCCTTGGTTTTAGCTCCCATGGCCCCTCCTCCAGGAAGCCTTCCCTCACCTGCTCCCCACCCTCTTTGTGATCTTAGGTTCTTTCCCCTGTCCTCTTCTGTGCCCTCCATGTCACATAAAATCACAGGCATTTCCTGACTATACCGAAGTCATCTTGTCTATGTCTCTGTCTCCTGTTCTGGGCTGTGAGTTTTACAAGGCCCATTGCAGGCTTGCCAGGGCTCCTTGTTGATTAGATAAACAACTGAAAGCACAGATAAGTGCTGATGGCAAGGCTGGTCCTATAGGTGGTGAGCTCCCCTTCGTGGAAGTAATCAAGCAGCCATAGCTCAAGCGTCCCCAAAGAGTGGCCTGGAGCAGGGTCTGTGTCAGAAGCTGGTGGGAGCCTGCAAAGTGCGCCTCTCTGCTGACTTCTGCAGAAGCTGCCCTGAGGCTGCATTTACCAAACCAGGCCACAGAGGTCCCGAAGGAGGAGTGAACGGACTGTCGCCCAGACTCACACAGCATCTAGGACCCGATGCTGTGAAAAAGCCAGTGACTCACTTTCCAGCTGTTTCTCCAGTTCCTCTTGGATGAGCCGCCGCAGGACATCCATGGATGGAGACTCACCCTGGGAGGAGGGCGGGAAGGCAGAGTTACTCACCTTCCCAGGACCGCCTACCTCCCGAGACCCAGAGCACTCAGGAAACCAAGACGGCCATTGCCACGCAGACCACAGTTCCCAAGTCCAATCCCTTTAACACCTAGAACCTTCTCCCCACCCCTCACCACGCAGGCAGCATCCTTGCATCTTGTATGGCAACCTGCACACCTTTCCGCCTGAAGCCCCTGCTCCCTCTCCTTCCCACACAAACCCCTCCCCAGCCCTGGACCCAGGAGGCCTGGCGCTGAGTCTCTCCAGGCTGAAGTCCCCCCACCTGCAGGGCCAGCTTGCAGGCTGCCCCGCGCTATCTCGGGTTTGCTTCCTCCCATCGGCCACTTGGCGGCTCTAGTGTCTGGCCTGCCCCGCTGGCCCCACACAGACGATGAGCCGTGGGTCAGTGGAGCAGAGCCCTGCCTCCAGGCCCCCAAGGCGACATGCAGCTCTTGGGGTGATCTGTGAGAGCAGACCTCACGCCACGCTGGGCTCCTCCCTGGTCGTCAGAGCCCTTCAGGGAGGTGTCCACTCCCAAGGGTGAGTGGGCTTACTGTGCTCATCGCTGCAGCCCCAGCATCAGGCTTATTGTCTTATTTCCTTTTTTTCCATTCTGGCCAATGATCTTTTATGGTACTCCCAGAATTCCCATTCCTACCCAGAGCAGCAGGACACCCGGCAAAGACTCGGTGGGTGGGGGCGCCCTGGAAGCCCACTGAGTCCGCCAGCACCTGCCCCGGGCTGAGCGATAGCAGCTGGCTGCATGGCCTCTTCAGGGGGGTGAAGCCCAGGCTGACCGCAGAGCCCCACGGGGACAGGGCCAGAGCCTCAGAGCAGGCGGGCGCGGGCCCGGGCCTGTGCTCTGGGCCACAGGAGGGGCCCCCAAGGACCACGCAGGCTGCAGAGCAGGAGTGGGGTGGGCACATGGACCTGGCAACCAGCCCCCAGGGACCGGCCCACCCAGCTCTGCCCGATGCACTACGGCCAGCGTGTCCCTGTGTTGTGAGACTATCAAGTTAAGAGCTCGGCCACAAGAATAACTGTGTTCAGAGAAAAAACAAACTGCTCTCCACAAGCCTTTCCTTTTGCACTTGGGAAAAGCTAGACCCAGAAGACCCAGAGGGAAGACCCAGCACCCCAGACAGTAGACAGGAGGGAGCCAGAGCCGGGCATCGGGTGGATGGGGAGGGAGCCGTCCCCATGGGGAAGCTCGGGTCACCGGGAGCCTCTGCATCTTCTCAACTGCCTGCTGCACAGGGTCCTGGGCAAAGAGCATCACTGCCCAGGAGTGAAGACTGGACCACAGGGACAGAGAGACTCTATCCTCAAGCCCTTCATAAGCCACATGCATCATTTCATTTAACCATCACAGCCAGCCTGTCGGGAGAGAGGCATCCTCGTCCCTTTTGGGAGGGATGGGAGGGCAGGCTCAGAGAGGACAAGCAGCAGTCAGCCCCGGCTCACACAGGTCACTGGTACCTGCAGCCTGGCCCCTCTGGAGTCCACACACCCCTCTGGCTTCCCTTGAAGCCCCAAGGAGCCCCAAGTTTGAAGCATCGCCCGCACGCTTACCCTTAGCCCTGGAAATCCTGGCTGGCCTGGAGGCCCTGGGGGACCGGCTGGCCCATTCTCCCCAGGTGGTCCCTGGGGGCCCATGAGGCCTGTGTGACCTTTGTGGCCTGGGATCCCAGGGTCGCCAGGCTGGCCCTTTCCACCGGGAGGGCCTTTGTCACCTTTGATGCCAGGATCTCCCTAGAGGAGGCAAGAAGAGCGTCAATGAGCAAAGGCCTGGAAGGGACCCCCAGGCTGGACGAGCCCCAGGCTGCAGGAGGGACCCCCAGCCCCGTGTCCTGCAGGCCCGAGACTCTGCGCTGGTGCAGACAGGACTCTGGGCCCAGAAGGACAAAGCTGCATGCTCACGTCACGCAGGAGGTCTGCTGGGGACAAGGCGCAGAATCTGACTTTCAGATCCCAATCTCATCTCCTCCCAGCAGAGAAGGCCAGTGCAGTGATGAAACCATCTGCCACTTAACACACTTATGTGGGAAAGTGTGAAAAATGGTGGAAAAAGTCTGATAGGTTCGGGGGGGTTACATAAAAGGTATATGTACGTGCATGCCCACCTGGTTCTGAGCGCATGGATTCCAGAAAGACACAAGCAAGTGCACAGTGACAGACCCAAGAAAAGCGTGCTGGATGAGCACCTGGTCTTCACCGCATTCACTTTTTTTGTGTGTGCAATTGATATTGTTTAACTGTATCGCTTTTCAACAATAACAGTAAGAACAATGAGTTTAAAAATGAATGCAGCCAGATTTGAGGGGGGTCTCCTAAATTTCTCCCACATGATGGGTTTTATGGGGATGTTGTCATCCGTGGGTGGTCTCCAGTGTGGGGGTCTGGGAGGGTCCCTTTCATGCATCTCAGTGCCAAGGCCTGTGGTACAGCGTTTCCTATTTATTCCACGTCTCTACATCCCTCTGCGGTGAGAGGACCTGTCCCATATTTCAAATGTTCCAGAGCGGAAGGCGTGAGGAGCCTGACTGCTGTCTGGCAACCTTCCACGAAACCACTTAACGGGTGAAGGCAACTCTCCTTTATTGACTGGGTATTAGAGAAGCTTCTGTTTATCGATTAAGTATTAGAGAAGTTTCATGGTCTGAATTCCGCAGCTCCCAACCAAAACTCCAGCATGTGACAGCTCTGGCCAGCTCCTGGCTGGCAGCACCCTCACTGTATTCACGGCCACAGCTCCAGCCCCTGGGTCCATCCTCAGGGGCCAACAACCACGAGAATCACAGTCACGGGGAAGGAGAAGGGCGAGAGATGGAGGTGGGGCGAGAATCCCTGACCTCTCGGCTTCCATTTCTCTCTGGTCTGCAGGAGAAACCAGTCCGCACCCATCCAACTTGCAAGGAAAGCAGAGATAAACTCTTTGCGGGACCACAGAAAAAAACCCAGGGCGGGTATGGGGTGGCAGTGCCTTCCGTGTTGGGCAGCAGCGGGAGCCTGTGATGGCCAGTCACGTGGAGGACTGTTTAATTTCTCTGAAGGGAACAGCGGTTGTTATGGGAGAGAGAACACCCCCTCCCCCCACCAGTGTTTCTTCCAAAACAGAATTGATTTTTTACCCCGTTTTTTTTTTTTTTTTTTTTTTTTTTTAAGGAATGCAATGTAAAGAAAAGCTTTCTGAGCACAGCGCCAAGACGATTCATTATGGGAAAATCTGTTCCCTTGTCACCTCCAGGGACAAAGCTGGTTCTTGGCAAATTGGCAGTTTGGGCTCCAAGCATGTCATGCACAGGCTTTCGGGCACAGGGAGGAGACGGGGAGATTTGTCAAAGTCTGGGCATGCTTGCCTCCGAATGTGTAATTGCAATGATTTTACTCCTTAAAATAACAACCATGAAAACCACAACAAAACCCCAACAATGGAAAAAACCTCCTGCTGTGAGCTCACAACTTCTGGGGGGCAACAGAGAACAGGGAAGCCCCCACGGGAGCTGCTCCCCTGGCTGGGCAGCTTCTTCAAGCCCTGGACACAGGCCCCTTGCCTCCGGGAAGGTCGCCTGCACGTGACCACGCGTCCCACTCACCCTTTCTCCTCTGAGTCCTGGCTCTCCTGGCTTCCCAGGCACTCCCTGCAATGAAAGCAAAGGAGGGCAGTCACTCCACCAGGGGCATCTCTGCCCTTCTTAGTCCCTGCTGCCTGAGGAGGCCAGGAGGTCCTCCGAGAGTCCTGCTCTTGCCTGATCATAAGCCCCCACTCTTATGCACCCATCACCCTCGCCTGTCAGTTCCTGAAACATGCCACATGCTCTCCCCAGTGCTTCACATGTGCCAAGCGATCTTTTCCAAAAGCCCTTACCTCTCTCCCCCATCCCTTCCCACCCCTGCCCCTGCTCATCCTGAGGTCTGGGAGTGACCAGGGCTGGAGTATTTCCGCTGATGGAGCCAGGGGAGGACAGAGCTAAGGCTTGAGCTGAAAACTGACATCATGCTGCTGGGTGGAAGGACTGTGGGGGGCAAGGCTGAACATGCGAAGTCAGTCGGGAGGTCCCTGCAAATGCCCAGGTGAGAGATGACGATGGTCTCAGTCAGGTCTCTGAGCAGGAGAGCTGGACAGAGCTGGGCAGAGCTGAGAGGTACTGGGGAGCCAGAATGGACACATCTTATTAATGGACAGGACTTGCTGATGGGCTGGGTGCAGATAGCAATAGATAAGTGAGAGATGTATCAAGATGGCACCCTGGGACCAGCTCCCATGCAGAGTGAAAACACGGACCTTCATTGAGAAAGCACTAGGGTGGTCTAGTGGCTAAGACTCTCAGCTCCCAATGCTGGGGTCTTGGGTTTGATCCCTGGTCAGGGAACTGCATCCCACATGCTGCAGCTATGAATCAAAGATCCCACGTGCTGTAACTAAGACTGGGTCAGCCAGATAAACAAATATTAAAAAATAAAATAAAAAGAATGCACTAGGATTTCAGGACAGTGACAGCAGAACACAGAAGCAAGTGCAGGTGCCCTGCTAAGCCCAGGGCCCCGTGAGACAGCACGCATCACCCGCCCATGCAGTGATCTGTGTCTCCCACAGGAAAGGGTCCCCAGGAGAAGAGGGGTGTGGTACTTGCCTCCTTGCCTGGGACTCCTTTCTCTCCTGGCTCCCCCTACGACACGGAACAAGTATCAGTTAGAGGCATAGCATTAGCATGTTGCACATAACACGAATGTCTTTAAAACAGACACTTTTGCTTGAGTCGTCTCGAGCAACGACAATAATCACCGGTCCAGCCAAGGAGATCCCAACAGGCTCCATGCTCACCTGAGGCCCCCGGGGACCTAGGAAGCCCGGGAGCCCTGGGCTGCCGTTTTCTCCTTTGGTTCCCTTCTGGCCCTGCAGAGGGAAAACGGGGCATTCACTCTTCAAGGTCAAGGGTCAACTCAAGAAGGTTCAGAAATCTCGTAGCCCCTCTGTTATTCTGAGCATGTGAACAAAAGGAAAGACGACCCTTTTCCTGGCATGGAAGGGCTGGGATAGGGACAGAAGCTGCTCTGAGAATCCCTCCCACGGGTGGGGGACAGGAGAATTTCCTGTGAACAGTCAATGGCCTCCGCGTTCAAAACAACAGAAACACAAAGGGACAAACAAAACTCCTTGATGGGTATGGGCTTCCCTGGTGTCTCGGGCACCAAAGAATCTGACTGCCAAGCAGGAGATGCAGGTTCGATCCCTGGATCGGGAAGATCCTCGGAGAAGGAAATGGCAACCTCCTCCAGGATTTTTGCCTGGGAAAAATCCCATGGACAGAGGAGCCTGGCGGGCTACAGTCCACGGGGCCCCAAGAGTCAGACACCACTCAGTGACTAAGCCACCACGCTTGACACGCATGGGGCCCCTCTAAGTGACCTGCCCGGAGCAGCGTTGCTCCTCTTCCCAGCTGGCCAGCGATTCTCACGGTTTGGCTCACTTTTGGGGGTAAAGTGTGTGGGAATCTTTCGGCTTCAACCTTTCTGGGAAGCCACCAAATGTGGGTCAGCCCTTCTGCGGCCAGCTCTGCACTGGGCGTGAATCAGCCTTGTGACGCAATCCTTCCTGTCTGCAACGTCTCAGCACAGGTGACAAGACTCCTGCAATGTTCTTACATGGCTGTCCCTGGTCCAACAGGATGATGGCGCTCACAGGGCACCCAGGTGCCCAGTGTGCCTGGGAATGACGGCTCTCCCTGGACCAGGAGGGTTCCTGGCATACCAGGATGGGCTGCTCATCCTGATTTCCACAGTGACAACAGCTAGCCGGCCAGATGGGTCTGCCCATTGCCCCGTGCAATTACTGCTGGAGTACCAAACCATGAGGATGGCCTTCTCAAGAGGGTTGCCAATTTTAGCTGATAAATCTACAGCGAGTCTGGTGTGGGAGGAGACGAGTGGACAGGTGTTGTCCCTAGGCCTCATCAAAAGCCTTCTCCATCATGTCTGGCCATCTACCAGACCTCAACCCTAAATCCTGAATCCACTATCCAGGGATCCGGACACTGCTGACTACTCAAGCCCCCTCTTCCTACTCCCCGCCCATTGTTCCTTCTTGCTCTCCCCTGTCCCCACCTCCCAACCAGCAGGAGAATCCCCTTCAGCCAACTCTGGGTTACATTCAGCCCCACGATGCATGGCACCTACCCTCTCTCATATGTTAAGGGTCGTGGGCCTGACCCTGTCCTTCCATCCTCTAAAGGCATCAAACAACTAACATGCACTCTTAATACACATTTTAAAAATTCTTTAATAGTTTTTTTTTCTTTCCTATTGGATGCCTATGGTTGTAGACAACAGAGTTAAGTGCATAATCACATGAAAGAGGTCCTTCTTGGATCCTCTTGCCTCCAGCTTATTCCTACCATCCAAATACCATGTTTTCCCACTGAGGCTTCTGGGCACAGAGATTAGACAGGGTGATGTAAACCACACACCCTTCCAAAGCTTGCCCTGACTCCATCACAGCCGAGGAACAGTACTCACGGGGCTTCCTGGGGTGCCAGGCTCTCCCGGTGATCCAGGTGATCCATTCTTACCCTGATGGAAGGAACAGAAGTGAGGGTTCTGCTGGGACGCTCTGCCAGGGCATCACAGGGAAGGAAGGAGGGACAGGGACTGCTAAACGAGGAGGGCTGGTCTCACACAGCTGTGACTTGGACCAGCATGGTTCCACGTCGTTACTTAGAGGCTGCTTATCAACCCTATGCAGCTTCCCTGGTGGCTGAGATGGTAAAGAATCTGCCTGCCGTGCAGGAGACCCATGTTCGATCCCTGGGCTGGGAAGATCTCCTGGAGAAGGGAATGTATACCCACACTTCAGTATTCTTGACTGGAGAATCCCATGGACAGAGGAGTCTGGAGCTTGGGATATTTAACTCATAATAAATGATAAATACTTAAATGAGTTCACATGCATGAAAAATCCTGGGCTGGTGACTGTGACTGCTGCCCATAGCAGAGGCATGGTAAGTCATCGGGACCACATTTGCTGACTTATCCATTCATCCTCCCACTCAGATGCTGACTTAAGGAGCAAACAAAAGTGCTCACATCCCTGGAGGCCTGGTCTCAGCTGGGGATGCATGTTCCTGCCTTTACGGCCCACTCCTTCTCTGTGAGGGGCGCTGCTGACTGTGTGGATAGAGATATCAGACATGGAAACATGGCAGATGCAGCATCACATGGCTACTGGATGGAAGGTCCATGCACTCCAGATTCCAGGACAGACTCACAACCGTCACATGCTCTAACTTGATGGGTATTTTGTGCCCATTTGTAATATAGGTGAATATATATAACCAGTAAGATCCTTGATAGAGTAAAAATCAGAAAGTTCGAGAATGCTCCTAAGCTGCAGACAAATTCCTCAGGAGCCCAAAACTCACAGTCCCCACTACTGCCAATCCACAGGCTGAAGTCCTAATCCCCAATGTGTCAGAAGGTGGCCTGGTCTGGAAATACAGTCACTGCATATGTAACTCATTAAGGTGAGGTCACACAAGAATAGAGCAGGCCCCTAATCCTATATGACTGGAGTCTTCATAAAAAGGGGACACTTGGACCAGAGGAATGTCACAGGGAGAAAACCATGTGAAGATGAAGGCAGAGGCTGGGCTGATGCTTTTAGAAGCCAAGGAACGTCAGAGGCTGCTTACAGACCACCAGAGGTTCAGAGAGTCTTGAAATGGCTCTCCCTCACAGCCTCGGAAGGAACCAACTCGACTGGCACTTTGACCTTAGACCCCTAGGTCACAGAACACTGACGATGAATGTCTCAGACTTCTAGCCTCCATAACTGAGGGACAATGCATTTCTGTTGCTTAAGCCACTGTATTTTTGGTCCTTTTGCTATGACAGCCCTAGTGAATGAATACAGAGCATGCCCGAACACCAGCACACCAACTTTAGGATTCCTAAAGCTGGCTCGTGACTCGGGGCTGGGGGCTGTTACAGTGCCCCAGCCATGCCAAGTGGCACCTTTTTAGTATCTGGATTATGGGCGGGGGTCCCAGACAAGAGCCTGGGGACTGTGCTGGGCTATGAGGGTGGCCTTAGGGCAGCAGCTACTTACCAACTGCTAAGACGTTTCGAGGGCTTCCCTGATAGCTCAGTTGGTAAAGAGTCTGCCTGCAATGCAGGAGACCCTGGTTTGATTCCTGGGTCAGGAAGATCCCCTGGAGAAGGGAAAGGCTACCCACTACAGTATTCTGTATGGAGAACTCCATACAGTCCATGGGGTCACAAAGAGTCGGACGTGACTGAGCGATTTTCACTTCACTTCACTTCAAGACATTTTGAAATGAGATGGTTGGATGGCATCACCCACTTAATGGACATGAGTTTGAGCAAACTCCAGGAGAAAGTGAAGGACAGGGAAGCCTGGCATGCTGCAGTCCGTGCGGTCGCAAAGAGTTGGACACGACTGAGCGACTAAACAACAACAAAGACATTTTGTCATTTTTTAACGACACACAGGGCTGTACCAGGATGAACCAACCAAATGTCACCATGGTAACAGGCCTGCCAAAGCACAAAGCAGATCGGCCTCAAGGCAAAACTCACCGGTAGGCCCCTCAGTCCTTGGGGACCCTGTGGCCCTGTAGGTCCGGTGTCACCCTGGAACAGAGAGAGGTCATGTCACCCCAGAGTCGCTGCATGAAAATGGTGGAAGCAGATTTCCCCCAGGTGCCCTAGAGACCCAACAAATGGTGCCCAACACGTCTCATCACCAATCAGCAGCTGTTCCACGGTAACAGCTCACTTCCTGCAGGTAAGTCCTCATCTGTACACTTGTTGACTTAATTTACTTGCGTAGACCTGGGCCACCCGGACCCATGGGGATCTCAGGAGCTCCACCTGGAGCCAAGGGACATGACAGGGAAGAAAACTTTCCTTGGCGTCCCACATCTGAGTCGCTGGTCAGTCACCTGTGGCCACTCCTGCCTCAGTCTCCACAGTAAGAAAAACGCCACTGAAAGGTCTACAGAAGCTTCCAGGGTGCCGAGCAGCGAAGATTCGCCACCACTTCCCACACAGCCTTCCCGGCAGCCTCCTAATCGGGTGTAAATCTCCTCATATTATAAATGAGAAAGACAGAAGCTTGGCCATACTCCTACACAAATTAGACTGTACAACACCCTAAAAAAGGGGGGGTTTTAAATGAAGAGAGCTGAGAGGGAGGGAGGGAGGCACTCACACCATGAGCGGGCCCCGGAGCTTGTCCCCGCTGCACCCTGACCTGCTGGGCGAGCCGAACCGCCCCCCCTGCCCGGGGGGCTTCCCTCACGCCCTCCCCTGCGAACTGGAGCGAGAGCGGTCAGCGAGCCCAGGACTCTCAACCTGCCTTTCAGCACCGAGAGGCAGCCTTCGGGGACAGAGCCGGGGAGCGGCCTCGCTCCAGCCAACGCAGCTGCCCTGCCTTGATCTGCCTGCAGGGCCCTCACGTGCCAGACCGGTGGGTTTGTGGGATGGATCCCACTGCTAACGAAAAGCCCAAGAAGAGCTAGATCCTTTTCAGCTCCAGCATCTCATGACCACAGGCCAGCTGAGATGACAATGCACGTCAAGAGCCAGGGTGGGGGGACACATCACCAGGGGTTAAATAAAGCCAGGTCCTGCAGGGCGCTAGGGGCTGGGCACGGGGCCACCTGGGACCTCAGGACCGCGAGCCGGTGCTCCTGACCAAACGCCCACATCCGGGAGGCTGAGCCACGTCCACACACATCGGACGGCTCTGCAGGAAGGGCTCAGGAGGCCCGCGGTGCCAGCAGGTGAGACGTCGCCAAGAGATTCCCAGAATTCACCTGTGACTCCCTCCATCGTGGTACCCACTCCCCTGCCCAGGTTCTAAGCGTCTCCTGATCCTTGTCTAAACTATCTATACCCCTCCTCACACAGGCCCTGCCAGACCCCACTGGACACCCACACTCACATCTTTTCCTGGTGACCCTTCCCGGCCAGGGGGCCCCGTGGCGCCGGGCTCTCCCTAGAAGGAGAAGCAGAGACACAACAGCTGCTGTTACGGAGAGAAATGAGGAACGCCAGTGTCCCAGCCGCCACACCTCGGAGCATGTGGAGAGGAAGGCCAGGAGGCCCACCCACCCGAAAGCAGCTCCCCCCCCGGTTCTGGCCCCCAAGTGGGGTCTGCAGTGCCCCCAAAGCCAGCTGCAAGCCCTCTGAGCTGCGGGGAACCACCAGCTGACAGATCAGGCAAACTGCTGGGGGTTCCGTCTCCCCACGTGCTGACCCGCCGGCCCTTCCCTGCACCTCAGCTTCCTCCTCACTGTAGAGAGCAGCGGGCCTCACTGGGCGCCCCGCCCCCGACCCGGGGATCCTTCTGTTTGGGGCACTCGGAAGAGACGGAGAAAGGTGGAGCACAGGAAGACAAGGCCCGCGGTTTCCCAGCTGGAATAAGCTGAAGGTGTCCACACACAAGCTCTGGGACCTCAGGAAAACCACCGCCATCCTCCGGCCAGCAGTGACCACACCGGGCTCCAGGCTGACTGGTCAAACTGGTCGGACATCAGTGTGAGGCCCCTGGAGAAACGTCTAGAAACACTTAACCGGGGAGGGATGATGCTTCCAGCGGCTGCCTCTGTGCTCTCTTGGGACACAGCTCTCCCCGTCCCTCCAGGGCCCAGGAGCCTTGTGTCTAGAAGCGCCCGCTCGGGTGCAGGGGGACCGCCTGACGACAACATGTCCACTTACCCGGGGGCCAGGCGGGCCAGAGTCACCTGTGTGTCCCTTGAAGCCCTAGAAGAAAAAGGATGATGTTATCTCACCAGGGAGCAGGCTGGTAACGCGGGACCAGGTGGACTCCAGGGGGTGGAGAGGAGCAGGAGGAGGCGGCAAGCCCCCGCCGGGTATGTGTAGGGGGTCTTCCCGACCCAGGGATCAAACCCGGGTCTCCTGCATTGCAGATGGACTCTTTACTGTCTGAGCCCCCAGGGAAGCCCTTATCTCCTTTAATCTCCTGTTTTCAAGAGCAAGTGAAGGCCCTTCTGGGGAGAAGACCAGCCCTCGGGCTCAGCCATTGAATGAGAGCCCTGACCTGTGGGGCCCGCGTTGTGTGGCTGTGGCTGTCATCCTGGAAACGTGTTCTCTGTCCGCTCCTCCCCACTCGAGGGACAAGGATGGTGGCCTTCGGAGGGAGGCCGTGAGGGTCACTCCCCAGGCTGGGGGCAGTGCAGTACAAAGGGGAGCGCGAGACTGCGGAGGAGCCGGGGAGACGAAGACGCACTCCTTCAGATTTGACTCCAGTTTCAATCCTGTGACCTCGGAAAAGTCAGCTGACCCCCTGGAGTCCTGACATCACCATCTAAGGAATGCAGATAATAAAAATACCCACCCGGCAGAGTTCTGCTGGAGATGGGCAGAAAGGGGTGTTCCATGCTAGTAAGCGTGACGGAGCCAGGTCAGAAAATGAGCCTGGTCTGGGGCCCCACTCTAGCTGCGGGCCTTGGGAGCGTTACTTCTCTTTCTTGGGATTCAGTGTCTGTATCTATCAAGTGAGGGTGAAGCTACTTCTGCAGGGTTGTTGTTCAGGATTGAGAAAGAGGTCAACTGTGCTCTCCACTGTTCAAAAGAGGCCAGTTCCCTTTCCCTGGGTCCTGGGATACTCACTAGAGTCCCAAATCCAGCCTTGCTCGGAGCCAGGGACCCTGGTTGTTCTCCTCCCAAACAATCATGGACAAAAGCACCCAGTAATGGAAGCCACACGCAACGCACCTGACACGTGGCTGGGAAATTCCTTTAGTACTCACAACCACCCTGCAGAAGTGGGAACTGCTCTGATGCCCATTTCATAGGAGAAGAAGCAGGTTCAGAAAGGGCCCCTGACCCAGGTCACAGAGTTATTAAATGGCAAAGCGGAAGCTGAGCCCAGGTCTGTCTATCTCAAAGCTTACATGTCTCTGACTCAGGCAGTGCCAGCCAGAGGAGGCAGGTCTTTCATCACCTGCCTGGGTCTCTAACCTCTATCCCTGCACTGAAGTCGGAGTCCTTACAACTCTCAGTTGAGAGATGGGCCTTGCCCCAACACAATGCCCAGCAAAGGGATCTTCTTGGTCGAAAAAACAAAGAAACAAAGAAACCCCTCCCTCCAATAAACCAGTGGTGGCGGTGAGTTAGTTAGTCTCTAAGTCGTGTCCAACTCTTTGGGACCCCATGGGTTGTAGCCAGCAGGCTCCTCTGTTCATGGGATTCTCCAGGCAAGAATACTGGAGTGGGCTGTCATTCCTTCTCCACCAATAAGCCAGTAACAACCTCAAAAAAAAAAAAACTAATTCTGTGTTTTAATCCTCCAAAGAGGTGATATTGTGCGGTCCTGGGCTTCTTCTCCTGGGGCAGTCAGGTGAAAAGCAGGGAGATTTAGGAAAAAGGAAAGTACTTTTTTTTGTTTTATCTCCTTATTGAATACTAGCCAGGTGAGTTATTGATTTTTTTTTAACAGAGAAGCAAATTAAGGAAATAGAACTAGCATTTTCATCTCCTACTTCTTGCCAGTAGGCGATTTCTGGCAATCTTCTATCTGGCAAAATTATACCTAGATAATTGGATTTTAAGATTTTCATTGAAAATTACATTTTCCCAAAAGAAAATCTAAGGAACTGTGTAAACAACTTTGAAATCATAAAGAAGTAAAGCATTTAGCAAAAAAAAAAGAAACAACCCAAGAAACCTAAAATACACGGAGTTCATTTTTGTAGAAAAGGTGTCTGTGCTTATTTATGTGTATAATAAATTGTTCAACAGCTAGATATAGATTTAAATATATAAATGATAGGTATAGATTTAGATATATAAATGCTGGATTTCATACATAGAAGACTAAAACTCATACTAGAATATTAACAGCATTACTTCTGTGTTGTAGAATTATGTTAACTCAATTTTCTTCTCTATAACATTACTTTTCTTATTCTTTTTATGACCATCATCATTTGTTATCGTTATGCCGTGAAAATGAGTTACACTTCTGATTGGAGAAAAATACTTTAGCTGTGGAAAGGTTTCAGAATGAAAATTAAGACTCATTTTTAGGGTCTGTCATCCAGAGAAAGCTTATTAAAAATATAATAAATGGGATAAGAACAAAGGAAACTTAGAGTAACAACAGCGTGACAATGGTTGCAAGTGGGAAAATAAATTTTACAGCAATGGCACGGGAAGTGACTGGATTTACTGCATATAAGTACCAGTGTCTTGGAAGGGAGGTACTTCTGGAATTCATGGCTGGGCGGTTTCAGAGAACCCGACCCACAGTGACGCAGGCAACTGGCTGGTGGCTTTATTCCACTATGGACAACACGCACACACTCTAAGCACTTACAGGGGGACCGCGGGCACCCTCTGGTCCTGGCAGACCTGGCTCTCCTGTTTTGCCCTGAGGATAAAGAAGAAAAGAAAAATGTGAGGACAATATTTTCAGGATCTTCCTATTCTTGGTTGCCCAGGCTTCACATCACATTTCCACCAGCCAGTCTCTGCACCTGCCAACCCTACCCTCCGGCACCGTGGCCCATTTCAGTCCATAGAGAACAGCACTGTGCAGTCCAGCCTATCAGGTTCTTGGTCTTCCTGGGACGGTGCTGGGTACACAAGGTTCATCTCTAAAACATCCATTCACAGTGCCCCTATTTAGTTCTCCAGATTGTTCTGGTGTGGATGAGAAATTATGTAGACACCCAAGCCAGAAGTAGCTTTATACTACTCACAAAACCACCGCAAGGCACCTACTAACAACTGCATCTTACAGAAGGGGACACTGAGGCTCAAAGTTACAGTTTCACTGAATTAATAAACAGCAGAACCAGACTGAACCCCAGTGACAGCCAAAAGGATGCTCTCCTCACCCCAGCAGCAGTGTCTGCGACAGGCAGGCCTTCAACTGACTCACCCATCCCCATCCTACCTCCTCCTAACTCTATGCAAGTAACTGGGACACCCTGCTATTCAAGTCTCCCCTCCCAGCAGTCTTGTACGGCCCTGGAGAGAACAGAGCAAGGAACACAGGCCAGTGGATGCTGAAGTCCAGATAAAAGTGGTGAGAGGTAGGGGAGGGTTGGGGGAGCAGGGAAAGTGGGTGAGAGGCCACGTGTGGTTGATGGGGAGATGGGCACAGGAGGCCCACCCACACCCAAATCCTCCCTCACCCCACAGGTCATAACCTTGAGGGTCAGATGGGGTCCAAGAGGGGGCACAGGAGAGGCAGAAGAGCAGCCGTGGGTTTAGAGTGAGAATTCCGGAGAGAAGGAGGAGGGGGCACCAAGGTCTGATTTCTAAGTCGGTTTCTTCTCTGTCCCAGCTCCCTAAAGCCTAGCTATGTGGTCTTGGGGGTCATCCCTTCCCTGGATCTGTTTCTCAGCTGTACACTCAGGACCATCTCCCCTCCACAGGGCCTGTTGATGGCCCAAGCTGTAGCAGGAAAAGAGCATCGCCAGCCATAGCTGAGGGTGTCCTAGGTACCAGCACAGCCAGCGCTTCACACAGTGGTGTCAATGAGTCCTCACTGTAACCCATGGAAACACTCTATTCTCCCCAGGCAGCACTCCCCAGCACGGTGGTCAAGCGACCTGCTCAGGGTCAAACAACTGGGGTTATAACGCAGGTCATCTCGCTCAGAGTCTCTGAGCTTCATCCTCTGCTGTAATTCATGCTCAGTGCCTCCTATGAAAAATAATGCAATGGGCAACTCTTAACAGCTGCCTGTCTACCCATCTATCTATCCATGCCATCTGTCTATTCACTGTGTTCCTCCGTGCCCCCAGCACACAGGCATTTAAAGGACCAGGGCAAAGTGGAAAGCAACCAGCCACCACCCGCAGTCAATGCTGCAGTTTCTGGGCCCCCACCCCGGGCTCCCCTGGAGGGGCTCCTGTCACTCTGTCCATCAGCCGCTGCCCAGGGAGAGGGCTGTGCGCAGACCCTGAGGGTGCGGAGGGCCCAAGAGCACGGGAGGCCAGGCCCCCTGGAGCTCCTCCAGCCAAGCAGTTGAAGGTGATGACAAACGCCCAGCCTTCTGTCCTTTGGCAACGGTGGGGGCGGGCACGTGTGCCGCTCCCAGCGGGCCTCCAGGGAGTGGACCCGAGGTGCCCGCTGGGCCGCCCGCTCACCAGCTGCGGCGGCTCTCCTCTCCTGGTTTCCCCGCCTCACTCGGTGCCTGCTCCTGGGGTCTGCTCCCCATCCCCGACTCCGCCCCGCATCCTGGGCTCCGGGTCTGCTCAGAGGACATCTCTGACGCCACCCACCCTCTGCCAGTTTCCTCTCAAGCAGCTCAGAGTGATAAACGTCAGGACGGCCACCCGAAGATCCCGGCAGAAGCTGCCGGGTGAGCTCCGGACTGCCTGCTGTGGGGGGGCGGGCGTGGGGGGAGTCGCTGAGCACCCCCTGCGGCCAGCAGAGCGGGCCCTGCGTCCCGTGGACGGACTCGGCCAGCGGTGGCCCAGAGCAGACCTGGCCTCCTATCCGTCTACGCCCAGCGCCTGGCGCAGACCTTTCTGTATGAAGACCGAGGGCCTCACACACGCATCCGGTGCTGTCAGTCACAGCCGCTCGGGACAGTACGAGCCTAGCCGCTCAGGCGTGTCCGACTTCTTGCTACTCTTGGGACGGTAGCCCGCCGGGCTCCTCTGTCCGTAGGATTTCCCAGGCAAGAATACTGGTGTGGGTTGCCATTTCCTCCTCCAGGGGATCTTCTTGACCCAGGGATCGGCCCCCATCTCCCGAGTCTCCTGCATTGCCACTTCCTGCAAACAAGCTGCCTGCCTGCTCTGCGGTATGGAACGCTGGGGTCAGCCTTCAGGGTGTGGGTCCTGACTGCTTCCTTTCCCAGCTGGGTGGCCTCGGCCAGCCTACTTAACCACTCTGTGCCTCAGTTTCCTCATCTGGACCAATAATGACACCCATACCCCACAGGGGTTTTCTGGGGGTTATACCACAAAATGTAAGGGAGTGCTCGGTACCCCCAGCCCTCGGGGTGCCCGCAGCAGTTGTCGGCCACAGTGGCGACATTTGTCCTTCTCTCTCCCTAGCCAGGTCCTCAGCCTGGCTACCTGCCCCTTGCCCACTGGGGCTGCTTTGCTGGGTGGGCATCAGCCTTCAGCAGCTCAGATGAGCTTTGGACTCTGCTCACTGCCCTGGGTTCTGTTTTCTCCTCTCAGCAGTGAATTCTGCTTTCAGCATCAGGCAAAGAGTAAACAGCGATAACAAAGATGCTTCTGGGGAGTCACATAAGATGTAGAATGAATCATAATAGTTATGACCAGACAAATCAACTGGAACACAAACCCTGCTGTAGAGATTTTTACATAATTCCACTTAGCGGTTCTAAAGGCTCCACGGTTCTAACCTCACCAGGAGTTAAAACTATGGCAGTTGGGAAAAGTAGCTCACTAAATTGATTAACAGTTAAAGAAGCCTGATGCGTTTAACCAGTTTCTCACCTCATCTGATTCTTCAACAACTCCAGCGAGTGGCTACTATTATTCTCGTCCTATCTGAAATGAGACTGAAGCCTGGCGCAGGCTCTGACTCACACCAGATCACAAGCCTGCACGGAGTGGAGCCAGCACCCAAAGCCAGTTCCTTTTTCTGGGAGCGGTTGCAATTTTGGCGTAAAATATTTTAATTTTATTTTATCAATAAGCAAAATTAAAAACGATAATACCCTGCTGGGCTCTTGGGAAAAGAAAATGAAGACATGCACAGAAGAGAACTCTCACTGTGCCTGGGTCCTGGAATCTCCAGACACAGAGCGGTCGTTTCTGAAACGGCTGCTCTGACGTGTTAAGTGATAAGAAACCAGAGGCCCTTACCGGCTCTCCGGGGGGCCCCGGTCTTCCATCTCTGCCCTCTTTGCCTTCTTCTCCCTGAAAGAGAAATTCAAACCGGTTATCTGGCTGCAGACGCCAACAGGGAGGGAAGGACAGAGGTTTTTGAGGCTTTTTTTGCTGGGTGTACAGGTACACCCACACACGACCGACAGAACCGGCTCCGTTTCCAGGTTTCCTCCCCAGCATCACCTTTCTGACTTGGGTTCTCTGTTGGGCAGCGCCTGGCGCACAGCGGGAAAGCAGTACATTGCACGGCATCACTTTTTATTGCCATGGATGGAGAGAAGCCCCTCCTGAACATTCTCTAACTTAGGACCCTACAGGCTCATCTCCAGGCCTCCTGTGTTGATGACAGCAATGAGGGGGTGAGGATGTGGCTTCTGATGAAGGTGACAAGGACCCAGAGGACTCAAGGAACTCCTGGGACCTGAGATGGGTGTTGAGAATGACAGCCAGGGCCACGTCTGGGCGTAGGAAGGCCGCCAACGTGTCACATTTCTTTCCATGAAATCAAGCTACGACTCCCACCTGCTCCCCAGCCCCTCCAGCCCAGCCGCTGCTCTCAATCCAGACACCATTAGCCTCATGTTTCTCTAAGAGACTGTGAGGTTGCAGGGGTCTCGGCAGATCAGGACAACGATACGTCACACAGACTTAGGTTCCAATCTGGGGCTACCTAGACTGGGCGAGTTCTGGGGAAAGAAAGCAGCAGGCAGCAGGGCCGAGGGACCTGGAGTCACAGCAGGCAAGGTTATAACCCGCCTGCACCAACAACGCGTGTGATCTTGGGAGACTTGCTGACATTCTCAGCTTTCAGCGGCTCCTCTCCCAAACAGAGATGACAAAGCTGCCTGGCAGAGTCACGACGGGGCTCAGAATCAGTGCTGGCACCTGAGATGCTTAACCAACCAGCGACGGCAAACGACGCCAGCAGTGAAGCTGCTCCCGCGCTGACAGCTGTGCAGACATCACGCAGCGCCCTCACCAATGCCCGCAACGTTGGTGCCCAGGTATCAGGGGGAAGCACCGCGGACGGTAACTTAAGTTTACTGACCACCCGGGCCACCAGCCAGTGCTCCATGTGCATCCACAACCCGTAGCGACCCCACCCCTGGCATAACCGTGGTAACACCAGGCAAGCCAGCTGGGCAGGCCAGGAGGCCAGGCAGTGTTGGTCCTTTTCTCAACTAAGAGTTTAACTCCAGAAACTGCTTCTCCCCCTGCACGGAGTGGCCGGCAGGAGGATCAAGAGACCCACGCACAGCAGAGAAAGCCCAGGAACAGGTGAGATTAGCACAGCAAGGACAGTGGCCGGGGCTGGAGGCTGGAGACCTCGGCACGAACCGAGGAGCGGGGCTGTGGTGAGGACTACGCAGGTTAACATGTGGACAGCGCTTTGCCCACAGCCTGCCCTGCGATTAGCACACAGAAACAATTATAACTTCTATCGCCTGGGCAGAAGGGAGAGGAAGAGTTTTCTAGATAAGGATGATTTGTTAGAGGAAGGCAGAGTAATGTAGAGTTGCCGGGAGGAAGGGACGTGGATTGAGGATGGATTTCACAGGGACAGAATTGAAGAGACACAGAGGGAAAAACAGGGCTCAATTCACGAGGCACCAGGGAGGTCAAAATCTTGGCTCCTATCTGCCGATAACCACGAGCAGATGAGTTAAGAACTGGAAGGAAAGAAGAGAGGCAAGAGGGGAGGAAAGAGGAGTCCCTCTAAATCACAGAATCACATCCAAGGTCCTTTCTTTCCTCTCCAGTTACCCCAGGACTTTGATGATAAGACTTTGGCACAAAATTCAAACTGAGATCGTCTCTCCTTACCTCTACAGTGGCTGGAATAAAATCAGACATTCCCTAGTTGCTCTGACACACTAGGCCACATGGTTGCAGTTTATACCAACAGCGGCTTCACATCCCAGCCTGTCTTTTAAGATCTGGGCACCCTGGACAGGGGACTTAATCTCCGGGGCTGCGTGGCTGCAGTGAGGCCCACTGGTGATGCCCAGGAATTGCCTCCTTGACCAGTGGGGGCGTTTATCAGACATTCAAGGAGGAAGGGCTCCACGAAAACTGTTCATTCACCCACATATTTATTTCAGTGATATTTGCTATGTGCTCAGCATGTGTGGGGAGCAAAAAAGCCTGGTGTCATAGACTCCAGAGCCCAGAACACAACCCATTGACTACCAAGTGCTCTTCTTTTATGTCCCCAGATCTAGCAACTAGTAGGTGCCTAATTAGAGTGTGCTGAATAATCAAATCAATTAATAATGGGGGAGGTTGTCACGGATCAAACCATGACATAAAGATGTGATACCCGCTGAGGCAGACACCTGAGAAAAAAGGAAAGAGACTAAGCCTATCCTGACCTGGGGGGCAGGCAGCACTTCTGGGAAGTGATGCCTGGGATGAGATGGGAAAGATCAAAGGCATCGACTAGTGAAAGAGGCGACAAGAGGGCATTCGCAGGGAATACAGACACAGGTGCCAAGGTCCTGTGGCCTGGAGAGGAGAGGAGGCAGAGTGTTGAGGAACTCAAAAGAAGGCCAGTACAAGGCCAGCACAGCTGGAACAGAAGGACGCGTGGTGGAGGGCGGTGGGTGGGGCCTGTGGCCAGGAAAGGTGCCAGGAGCAGGCACACTCCAGGCCTGGAGCCACACAAGGACGTGTTCTCAATGGGAAGGCAGCAGGTGACCTCCCCGGACCAGCCTTACTGCCAACACACTGGAGAGTCTGACCCTATTGAGAAATATATTGGGTTGGCCAGGAGGTTTATTCCGGTCTTCCCATAAGATGTTACAGAAAAACCCAAACAAACATTTTGGCCAACCCGATGTCAAGCTGAAAAGTCCAGAGCAGCAAGCTTCCCTGGCAGCTCAGACGGTGAAGAATCTGCCTGCAATGCGGGAGACCGGGGTTCAATCCCTGAGTTGGGAAGATCCCCTGGAGAAGGGAATGGCTACCCACTCCAGCATTCTTGTCTGGAGAATCTCATGGACAGAGGAGTCTGGCAGGCTACAGTCCAAGGGGTCGCAGAGAGTTGGACATGACTGAGTGACTTTCACTTCACTTCAGTTTTGCAGTATGGTTCAAGAACCTTAGATATTATTACACTCGGACAAGGAGACTTCACTTTTGGGCACCATCCTACACAAGTAAGGGAAGTGCTATGCATGTAAAATAATCTACTGTAGATTTTTTTTAATAGTTATAAGTTTTATCAGGCAATAAAGAATAATCATATATATTTTCATACATTTATTGGGTAGAGTGTATGTAAAATTTATGAGCATTTAATACCAGTGTGGAAAATAGAAAATGTTTATATTATCACAAACCATTATCAGGGTTGTGTGTGTGTGTGTGTGTTTGTGTGTGTAGAGAGAGAGATGAAAATTTTATTCACATAAGTAAACAACAACAAATATATACATACAGAAAGCATGAGGTTAGGACTGACTTTGCTTAGTGATTTTTTTTTTTCTAATTTTCTATTGTACCAAAAAGTCCCCTAGTAAACACACTTTGCTTTAACAATGGTGAAATATCATTTTCTTGGCATATTTTTGTAGTAGAGAAACTCAATTTAAAATAAAAAGCCACTTACTGGGATGCCGGGTAATCCAGATGGGCCTTGGGGGCCAGGAGGACCCTCTTTCCCCTAAAAGATCCAAAACACAGAACACCATTAAATTTCTCAGGATGGCTTTTCTGGAGGTGAGTGATCTCACCCAGAATCACCTTCGTAGTCGGGAAGGAGTCCTCAGTGAGGAGCATCAGACGCTTCTGCCTGGATCACATCCGCCTTGTTCCTTTCCAGGAGCTGCTTCTCTGGGGCAGGGAGGTGCCCTCAACAGGGCACAATCACACAGCTGGTGTGCAGACTGTGACTCACTTTGGCCTTATTACATAGACTCAGGGGGAATTAGGGCTTGGAAGGCACAGTGGGAAGAGGCTTAGGGGTCCACGAGACCTGGGTCCAGATCCCACTCTGCGTTCTGTCCCCAAATGGCTCGCGTCTCAGGAGCCTGCCTCCCAGCACAGACACAGCACCTGCAGGGCTTCTGCTCACAGGATGCAGGACAAGAGAAGAACTGGCCGGGGACACAGACAACAGATAGTTCTGTTACTGCCGCCCTCTGATCCAGAGGTTCCCCAACTGTTTACCATCCATGGTGGCGTTCAGTATCCCTTTTCCTCTATGAAATTGACTTTGAAGGATTGTGTTTACCAAGCTGCCTTAATTAATACTTCCTTTCCATTTTAGTCACCAAAAACACACACCACAGTCAACCAGATGGGGTAATCAGTGTTACCATTTTTATGCCAGTGGGCTTATTTATATCACCCAGTATTTTAGAAGTCCTTATAACTTCTGAATCTCCTGTCATTGCTTTTCCTTTTCAGTAAGACACTGATGTCAGGTTTTACACTCTAATCCACATTCCACATTTGGAATTGACAACAACTTGTAAACATCTCTGTGAACTTAGGTTGCATGATATTTGAGATCACCAATGTAAAATATTCACAAAGCAAGCAAAAAAATTTCACCCCCTCCTTGCATCACAACACCTGCAAACACATTAACAAATAAAGTGGGTTTTTTGTCAACTTGGGCCAAATATTCAATCGTATTAGGTATTTTTAAACAGCGATAACAGAGCTTCCCAGACACCTCCCTGGATGCTTGTTATTCCAGAGACCTTACTATGTAAACATTAGGGATCTAGGGCAAGAGTCAGCAAGCTCTGGCTCTCAGCCTGCTTGCACCAAGTTTTATCAGGACACAGTCTCACCCCTGAGTTCACACGTTGTCTGTGGCTGATTTCACCTTATTATGGCAGAGCTGAATATATGCACCAGAGACCATATGGCCCACAAGACTAAAATATCCACTGTTCGGGGTCTTTTTGCTCCAATCAGGTGAGTTGAAGACTCAATGAGGAATCAGTACGGTTGTTCCTAAGCCTACTTTCATGACTCGTTGCATGCCATAGAAATTATGCAATTTAATTTTTCACTAGATTACCCAATTAAATTTAGATGGAAAGAAGAAAAACAATGATCATTTTATGCAAATTAAGACACTGAAAATATTTGACAAAGGTTAGACACTCACTGTCTAAACAGATAGCTGATAGCTGTGCCATCAGAAGATAGCTATAAAAGATTAGCAAAAAGTCCTAACAAACTAGCTAGGATACTACATTTAAACTGCTTCACAGGTGTTGTTATATATTCAAACTAATTTTTAAAAAAATAAAAAATAGTAAATGGGTGGATGTTCGTTCTACAACATAATGACAAGAGACTCTATTCAAGCGAACAGAAATAAAAATGAGGGCCTTCCCTCTATGTCAAAAAAATTGGCAAGTGTTTTATATGTTTTAATTCAAAATGCAATAGGAATGTTTTAGATTTCTCTCCCTGGGTAAAGTTTTTGTTTAATTTTATTTCTGCTTTGTGCCAAGAAAACTTCAGCTGCTTTGTGGTTTATGTTTAGGTTGAAATATGAGGACAGCGGACAGCTTCCAGCACAGGCGTAACTTGCAAGGACGGAATCAATGTCTTATTTAATGTCATTTAATTCCTAGGAATGCAAGGATTTACATCTAGGCCCCAAATCTTATTTTCCTCGGGCAAACAGTAAGTTAGTTTTTATCAGGCAAATCTTTTTCTGTCTGAGAATCAATAAAAAGCTGCCTGCAGTATGGTTCATATTTTATTCAGCCTGGAACTTCTAGGTGGCTGCTTCTAAAGGATCAGCCAGATGATAATCATAGAAAGAACCACCTGGCTCTTACTTTTCAATCTTGACATCCCCCTGCCCCTAATCCACCATCCCACACAGGGGGTCAGCATGGAGTAACAGAAAGAACTCTGAAATGGGAATTTTCAAACGGACTTCACTCCTAACTTGGATATTAATTTTCTGTATGACCTTGGATGAGTGACCTCACCCGTCTGCTTTGTCTCCTCATCTGAGGAGGAGGAGTTCTCCTGGCTGACCCTTAAAGTGTTCCTGGCACCAGAACCCAGAGATACCAGGGCAGGGCTGACCCTCTTACGAGCAACAGTCCTACCCAGAAGACGACCCTGAGCTTTCCGTAGAGTGGGGTCTGCACCTGGCCCTGACACTTCCTCACTACGTGTCCCTGGACTGGTAGCTGCATTTCTCTGATGCCCACTTTCCTTATCGACAAAATGGACAATGATTCCTACTGATAAGAAGCCATCAGATGAGATTAAGAGGTTTTAGGGGACTGTAAATCCCTTCAAGAGACTATGCATGTACTGACTACAAACACAATGCCTGCTAAAGTAACGTTCATCTTTGCTTTATGGTGCTGAAACCAAGAATGGTCCCACAGCTTCATGCAATGAATTTAACGCTGGTTTCTGAGATAAAAGTCTTGGGTTCCAACCAAATCGACCTGTGTGTTTTTAGGATCCTAACCTGCAACTTCCATTTTCACTCTTAACTTCGCTCAGGGTTTTCTGAACAGCTGGATAACAGTGGCTACTCCTGCCTAACAAGCCACTCACACCACAGGCTCAGAATGGAGCAGCTGCAGGCTTTCTAGTCCCCTGTGCCTGCTCCAAATAGAAACCACACCAGAAAGGACTAGAGAGATGGAGCTAAACCTTGAGCCGGGATGAACTGCTTATAAACTGAATTTCGGAACCGCCAATGGCCAGGTCATTTCATCCAAACCTTTCATTTACAGGCTAGGTAACCAGGGTCCTAACAGAAAGCAACTCCTCCTATGGTCGACTAGTAGTGAACTGACCCTTGGAACGTGGGCCAAGGGATCCAGGGAGGACCAGGGCACAGCTGGCAAACACCTGAGTTTCTGGGAAGTTCCCAACACATGCTGAAGGCAGATCCTGTCCACTGAGGAACTTACTGGGGGTCCTTGGATTCCTGGTGGTCCGGCAGCTCCCGCTATTCCGTCTGCTCCCTAAGGAAGGTAAGCCAGAAAGCCAGTTGGTTGGGTATCTGAACAGAGGTCATCAGCACCTCTTCTTTGGGCATGAGGCAATGCACACAACTGGCACCCCGTGCCCCTTAGCATCTGTCTGAGCTGGGAGTATTTCAGAGGTGCTTCGCCTCTCCCATCAGGCTGCGATAGCCTCTGGGAACACAGAGACACTGGGAAGACGGCAGGAGAGGCCAAAGCACTCACTGGGCAAGAGGAATAAACGGCCCCCTTCAGAGAGGACATTTTCAGCTAATATCAGGGAACATTTTGGGACACAAGACAAGAAATATACAACTGGGTGTATAATGTCTTCCAGGGAGCTAAAGAAGACGACTGCCTGTATCAACCCAGGGATGAAGAGATGCAAGGGAGGAGATGTTCCACACAGGTGAGGAAGTGGTGTGAAGTGAGCCCCAGACACTGTTCTGCCCCAGGGTTCCTGGGTACGCTGCTCCTTCTGCCTGCAGTCAGAACCCCCACATGTCAGAGCTCAGATCCCGCCCTCCTCATCGTGGCTCAGGCAGCAGGTCCTCAGTGAGATATTTCCTGCCTACCAGATTCAAGACTCTGAGTCCCTGCTCCTCACCACCCCTTTTCTGTTCATATTTTCTCCAGCCTTTATGTCCACCTGACTTCCTAGTGTTTATCACCATATTTGTTTACTGGGAACTAAAACGGTGCCTTGGAGATAGCAGACACTCAACAGTTCTTCAGTAAATCAATGAATGAGGAGCCAGGCTGGCTGGGTGACAAAGGCAGAGACTCTTTAGACTAATGGATGCATTGCTGCTTACTGGCTCTGAGGGAAAGGTGTCAGATCTCAAAGCTGTCCTCATCCATAGCAGGGAGGCAGTGACACTGCCTGAGCACAGCGGGGGTGAGGAGTATGTGAGGCAATGTCCCACAACGTGCTCAGCACAGAATCCAGGGTACCAGTTAGGAGAGCATCCTCTCAGAGCCAGACCTCCTGGGTCCATGTCCTGGCTCCCCACTGAGAGCTGTATGGCCCCAGGGAAGTTATTTTATTCCTCTGCCATCTCAGTTCCTTTGTAAAATGAGGAAAAAGAAAAAGATAGCACTCATTCAATCTGAGTTGTTGAGAGAACTGAGTAAGGTATACATACAAAGAGTTAACCCGTACCAGGCACAAATTAAGAGACTCCTATGGAGGGTTTTCCGTTATCATAGGTCTGATGACAATAGTCTTTTTCTGTGCCTGTCTGGTGGCCAACCCAAACCAGGAGCATTGCAGAGAGTAACTAAACATGGGATAACAAATAAGCAAGCTTTCACAGTACTTTATTTATACCTTTCAGCAGTCTTTATTCAGTCATTTCACATATTTATCGGGTGCCTATATTGGCCCACGTGTGGGCAAAGTTTCAGGAATACAGAAGCAGCCACATCATGATTCATTCATGAACTGAGCACTTTTTATGACAGTGGTTGCCTCTCAAATGTCCCTTCTCCCTTCAGGCCAATGCCTTTTCCCATGACCTATACTATTGCTATCTTGATCAGTTTTTCTTTTTGCTGATCGTCAGATGTCACCAGATCCAGTAACACAGGCAAACAGAGTGTAAAGAAATTTCCTACATGAAATTATACATTTTGAAACAACCAATTTTTCATGAAATTAAATGATAGCAGCCTAATCAATTCCCTACAAGGTTGTTCACAAATGTGGCCACCGCAATGCGTACCAATGGCAAGGCCAGAAGACGAAGGCATTCCAAATAATTACTTACTGGTGGTCCGGGGTCCCCTGGGGGGCCCATGAAACCAGGAACTCCTGGATGACCCTAGGAAAACAAAAGACAATTATTTTAAATGATTCCCCAAGGGCTTTTCACTTTGTGCAACTACAGACTTCAGATAACAAGCCAGAAGCCATCTCCTAACTCAGATAACAATTCTGGATATATGTGTGTGTGCGTGTGTGTGTGTGTATGTGTATATAAACCTACATATTTATATTTATATCAAAAGGTGGCTGAGGGAGTGTCTAGCAATCTTCCCTGGAACTGGATTTGCTTCAAAATAATGTGAAGGAAGACGTATACAGATGAAACCAAGAGTGGCCTTAGAGCTGGAAGATGCTGTGACCAGGTGAGAAGTCCAAGGGGGTGCTTTTTATTATACTCTCTTATTTTTTTATGGGGTTTCCCCAATGGCTCAGTGAGAAAAGAATCCACCTGAAAAAGAATCCGCCTGCAATATAGGAGACATATGAGATGCGGGTTTAATCCCTGGGCCAGGGAAGATCCCCTGGAGGAAGCGACGGCAACCTACTCCAATATTTGCACCTGAAAAATCCCATGTACAGAGGAGCCTGGCAGGTTACTTGTAGTCCACAGGGTCACAAAATGTCAGAGACAACTGAGAGACTAAGCACGTTGTTAAAAATATGTATTTATTTCCTTGGCTGCTGTGTCTCAGTTATGGCACATGGGACCCTCAGCTGTGGCATGTCAGGTCCAGCTCCCCAACCAAGGATGGAACCCAGGTCCCCACGTTGGGAGCATGGAGTCCCAGCCAGTTGGTCACCAGGGAAGTCTCTACACTCTTATTTTGATGTGTTTGAAGTATCCCATAAGAAAAACTTAAAAGCAGATAAATGCATATATACAATTTATACCCACAATGGAAATAGCTCAGTTAACTGAATTATAGAATCTGTGAGAATATTACAGTTATTTTAAGAAAGACAGTCATGTCCCCGTGTAGAAGCGAGTCTATGTATATTACAGAATGAGCTAAACTGGTTATGGTGCAAAGTATAGCATCCTCAGCATTCATGCAGTACAGCAAAGTTATCAAACCAAGCCAACCGCCATGAAAGAAACGGCTTCCCCGCCCTACGCCGTCACGTCCTTCCCCAGGAAAACACAAGCTGCAACGTTCGGTCTAGAGAGCACTGCTGTGGAAAACTATCAAGAGTAATCCAAACACGGTCTGTTTCTCAGGACAGACATTTTTGCAGACCTTGAATGCAGCGCTCATCTCCCCGCCCCCCGGGTCTCTGCCCCCGAGCCTCACCTGTCGCCGAGGGTCTGTGGGGTCAGGGATTTGCCCACTGCCCAACCTGAAGCTCAGAGCCAGGGGGGGCCTGGCGCGGAGCGGGTTTACCGTGAAGAGATGGATGGAAGACTTAGAGGGAGAGGCAGGGGCACGTGGAGAGAGGACAGGAGGAAAGGGGGGAAAGGGTGGCAGAAGCGAAGCACAAACAGAACAGTCGGTTTAAATGCAGAAAGGCTGCTGCAGCTCTGGCTGGGCGATGAACGGGAGACAGTGTTCAGGTCCGCAGGAAGAGCATCACATCATCATGGGGACCATTTTACTAGCGTTTGGAGAAGTGGTCCAGCAGGCTCGGACAGGCTCTCACGGGGGAGACTCATACAACAGAAGCGGAGGGCGGGCAGGAGGAAAGACGGCGAAAACAGTGCTGCTTCTTCAGGGTGGACAGTTTATTATAAAATGAGTTCTTACCTGGTCACCTTTCTGTCCAATCTCACCATCTGCACCATGTTCTCCTTTATTTCCCTTAGGAGAAAAAAAAAAGAAAATGACAGAACATTTTGCTAGAGCTCCTTTGCAAAAGAAAAATTTTGTGTTGTATTCATTCACTCATTCCTCATCAGTTTCTTATCAGGTTTGTGCTGGGGGCCCAAATAGCTACATGATCTTGAGCTGGTCATTTAAAGTCCAAGTTGTGGGGCTTTTTTAATCTACAAAATGAAGAGAATGATGATTGCCCACTCCATGAAATGTTGGGAGAATAAAATCAAATAATACATGGGAAATATTTAGCATGGAGCTCAAAATATAGTAAGAGCTACAATTATTATTTTTTACTATTCTGTATTGGAATCCTGATTTTGTCATTTACTAATTGTGTGTCATTGGTCAAGGTGTTTCAATTCTTTTGTTTCCTACTTAAAAAATGAGAACAATAACAGAAGACTCTTTGTCACGGGGTTGCTGTGAGGATGAAATGACTTAAAATCTACCAAGTGCCTAGACCAGTGATGGGTTCAGTGTTACCTCTCAGCAGTCTCACTGTGTTATCACCGTGGTCATTATCACCACGCCTGTCGTCACCATCACTGTTGCTGTCACTGTGGCATCACCATCACAACCACTGTCCTTCTCAACTTATCAATCATCACCACCATGACCGTCATCACTGTCATCACCACCACTCACCACCACCACCGTTACTGTCATCATTTTCCCCATCACTGTCACTATCATCTTTTTCTTCCTTCTCATCATCCATCACCATGATCAGTACCAGCAACACTATCATCCTCACCTTCTTCATCAACTCTACCATCATCATCTTCACTGTCATCACCACCATCACTACATCACTCACTACTGGCCCCTCTATCCCCCTCCTCCTTCACATCACCGTTGTCTTCATTATCATGGTCATCAAAACACAGCACGCAACCTACCAAAAATGCAGTCTTACAAACTAATCCTGAAAGTAACACTCAAACGTTCTGATCTTTCTTAACTGTCACCTACTTAGGCTTACCAAGTTAACAAGTGTATTCCAGTAAAATGTTATTAAACAAAAACACTCTAGTTCCTTTGAAAGAATGCATTATGCATTAAAAGCTGTTGGCAATTAATCAGTCTTGGCTGTGGTTCCAGGCCTGTCTTCCCTTACCTTTGCATCTTTAAAAGATCGTGTTCCTTCTTTAACCTGTTTGTTCATTCAGTAGATGAAGGAGCGGAGGTGGTGGGTGGCAGGCCTATCTCTGAGGGTCCTTCCAGACTCCCAAACCCTGCAATTCTCTCACTGAAACATCATGCCCAGCCCTCTTTCCATCCAGACACTGTACCACACCAGCAGTTCATCGATGACAATAATTACCCAGTAATACCCTAGCCTCCTCTCTGTGGTATACTGGGAGGGTTAGGTGCTCTATCTGTAAAGTGCCAAACGCTTTTGTGTAGGAAAAAAAGAGGTTCAGAGGGGAAGAGCATTTGTTGCAACATTTTTGCATGGAATTATGTCTATTGTTTTAAGATCTATAAAGCCAGCACACTGTCTGCAGGCCACTTCGTAATCTTAATGAAAAAAAGTGACAGACTAGCACACTGTTTCTCTGACATGAAGGATGATTGCCTTAAAAGTAAATGGTTTCCTTTCAATTCCCAGTCCTCAGTCTGGTCTTAGAGTGGTTTCAACCCACACCCCACAACTGAAATGTCAGCAGCTCAAGGATCTCCACAGTTGTCCTTGTCTCCTTCTCCACGATCAAAGCACACACAGCCACCCCCAAGCCTGACTCACTTCCTTCCAGAAAAGAGGGCTGACATTTACAGAGCCCTGCTCGGCTGGGCGCTCTGCCAGTGTCCACATGGGGTCCCACTTCATGTATTTCTTTGTTTATATCCTGAGCTGATGCAAAACAGCATTCAATGTGTCCACATTATCTCATTCAGCCAGGAAAACTACTCAGTGAGGTAGGGGGTTATTATCAGGGCATAGAGATAAGGGTCCTGAAGACCAGAGAGGTTAAGTCATTCACCTGAGGTCACACAGCTGAAAAAATTATAATAATAATAATAAGATTTGTCACCTAATCTAGATCTGTGTCCAAACTGTCTCCTCCTGATCAAGTTAATTTCCTGGTTATTTTTTTTTAGGTCATGATGCTTTGTCCCGCTGGTTTCATAATGTCAAGAGCACTAGATTTTCAATCCGGAAGCCTGACTGATTATGCTAACCATGTTCTCGGAACCTTTCAACGCACCAAGAATATAGCCGTCAAGAAAAAACAGATTAGAGGCAAAACAAACCAAGAAATAACCTGCTGTCCTGGATTCTATATTCCGGGAACATTACTGGTTTACTACTTTGCAAACTTGGCTTTCTGTAGTAGACACTTACTGAGGATGCAGTGAAAGGGCTTTGCTTTTCCTGCTGAAAAGGACAGAAGAAACTCCCACCACAAGCCCACAAGCCCTTCTATCAGAGCGCTGACTTCAGAAAACTCGACACTGTGAGTGCGTTCTCTGTCTCCTGGGAATGGTATCAGTCCTTTTCAAAAGCCAGTAAGACTTTTGCCGGTTCTAGGACCCAGGAGTGGCCTTCGTAGGTGGTGCAGTGGTAAAGAATCTGCCTGCCAGTGCACGAGACATGGGTTTGATTCCTGGGTTGGGAAGATCCTCTGAAGAAGGAAATGGTAACCCACTCCAGTGTTCTTGCCTGGGAAGTACCATGGACAGAGGAGTCCGGTGGGCTATAGTCCATGGGGTTGCAGAAGATTCGGAAACAATTTATCGACTGACTAAACAACAACAAAAAGGACCCAGGAAAATATTTCTCGAAGATCTGGGAACATCTCTTTGAAATGTAATCAACAAGGGAAATAAAGCCCCATCAGCCAGATGCTGTAGGAGACTAGAAGCCTAACTTCTGGGTCCTTTTTTCCAAGCTGCAGAACTACCTCCACGCAAAAAGATGTAAGCAGTTTGTTTTTATTTTGTTTGAAGCTAATTCACTAAAGCAGATGATTAGTCCAATTACCAGGTGAATTAGGATGAACATGACAAACAGTGATATGTGGTCCTTTTACATGAGGACTAATTACTATTCACCTTGAGGACACATACATCATCAGTCATAGCTGCTGGACCATAGAAAAAGGTGAGGTTTCTTTGTCTTTACAAGCTCTTGGCAGAACTGCCTGTGATACCTATAATATTCTGGTTTAATGCTTGTGAAAAAAGAAATTATTTCCATTCTACCTTCTGGTTTGGGAGAAGATTCTGTTTGGTTTTTAAATATACTTCCCCCATGCCATCATGTACTAAGTACATAATACAACAATTATTTAGAGGTTATATTCATAGTAGAGGCTTCTCTAAAGATGTTGGCTTTTGTGAATCCATCAAGCAGGTAATTCTCTCTAGGATTTTACAAATTGTTGAGAGCAGGGCCTAAATGTTCTCAAATTAGTAAGCCTCTACTATTCTCAGAAATTTTTCCCCTGAAAATTTGTGTGCTGTTTCTCTGGTTAGAAAACCTTTTCACAAGAATGCCTGTCAAGGCAAGCAAAATCCTACTTCTTGGGACTTCCCTGGTGGTCCAGTGGTTAAGAATCCACCTGGCAACACAGGGGAATCAGGTTCGATCCCTGGCTGGGGAACTAAGATCCCACATGCAACTAAGTCAGAGTGACTTAGTAACTACTGAACCTGCATGCCGCAACTCTGAGAGTCTGTATTCCGCAACGAAAGATCCCGCAGGACACAGCGGGGATCTCAGTGCTGCAACTGAGACCTGAATAGATAAATAAAAATAGATAAGTATTTTAAAAAATCCTACCTCCTCCTCCAGATGGCCTTCACTGGTGACCTCTGCCCCGTAGCATTATTTTCCTTAAGATCATTTAACTCTCCTCCTGGCAAACTGTTGTAGTTGTCATTAACTCCAAAGAAGGAACGGTACAGAGGATCATCCACAGTTACATGCACCTAACACTTCCTGTGTGCTGGGCACCTCACCTGGGGCTTTGTAAATGTCTCTGTGTGGAATCATGTCCTCTTTGTGAGATGAGCCATGAAGTCCTACTTTTACAGGTGAGGGACCCCAGCTTCAGAAAAGTCCAAGTTCCCCAAGTCTTATGATCAGTCAGTGCAATTCACCCAGCTAATAAGAGGCAGAACCAGGCTGGGGAACCACTGACTCCCTGCTCTCAATGGCTGTGGCCCCAGTCTGATTTTTGCTAAGAGTAATCACCTTGTAGATCTTTCTTCTCCAGCACATCAGGTCCTAGAAGACATGGCCCATATCCGACCTAACGCTATTCCTCCTGACTTGGAAGGGAGCTGTTTAAGTGCATGCTTTGCAGGAATCTCTCAGGACTGAGGCACTCGTGGATGAATAGAGAATTCTCCTAAAGAGAGCATGGACTAAATGGCCCTGGGTTGCCTTCTGGGCAGAATGGGATTCCAGGGCCTTTTCTGGCAGTTCTAATAACAGCAAAAGAGGTGTCATCTCTGCCTCCCAGAGTTGTCCAGAACCTCCAATGAGGTCTTCTACTCACCTAGCATCCCTGGTGCCTGCAGTACCCATTACATGATGGGTGGACACGTGGACAAGAAGAAAATCATGTTTTTCACAAAGGATGGAATAATCAGCATTTCCAAACTCAAAGGGGCTTTTACATCTGACTCATGAGAAAATCATGGTCTGATGACAATCTTGCTTCTTCTTCCTCTACATGGATGGTGGTCATAATGGAAGCCACTGTTTTCAGATTCCTCCCCTTAGTCAGAATCTTATGCAGTCTGGTCTGAAAGCTCCAGAATGAAGCTCTGGAGCTGACAGTGTCATTAACCTTCCCAGACCCAAGATCCAGAGACAGCAGCTGCAAATTTGCAGGAAAAATCTTGGGAAGCCTGATTTCCCAGATGCTGGATCACAATCACAAACAATCAAACCTTCCTGATGATGCCTGTGACCAGTGAATACCTAGAGCCTTTGGTTATAAAAGGACACTAACAACGACCACAAACACTCCACTGTACGCAGCACTGTAGACAGGCTGGAGTTTAAAGCCAAGAACCAAGGCAAGCCTGTGGGTCCTCAGGTGAGATACTGAATTCCTCTGCAAGCCATCTTCCCAGCAATAGGTGGTGAGAAAGGGAATGCTATTAAGAGTCAGTAACCGAGGCAGGGGATCAAGAGAAAGAAGCTTTGTGCTCCTGTGGGAACTGTCCTTGGTGCCCGTGTTGCTGATAGCATTACTGAGGGTATGGGAGTGGCTTAGTTGCTAGGTGGTGTCCGGCTCTTGCAGATCTCTTGAACTGCAGCCCACCAGGCTCCTCTGTCCATGGGATTTACCAGACAGGAATACTGCAGTGGGTTGCCATTTCTTTCTTCAGGGGATCTACCTGACCCGGTGACTGAACTCGCATCTCCTGCATTGCAAGCAGGGGCCACCAGGGAAGCCCCTACTGGGGGTTTAACAACATACTAACTAGTGGGGTCTGGGACCTGGACTCCAGGGATTCACTTTGGCTATACTGCCTACTCGTTTTGTAACACTGGCATTTACCCTTGCTATGCCTTAGTTTTCTAATCTGTAAAGCGGAACATCTCTACCTCCAAGGATGATACTCACCATCACAGGAGATATTATAAAGCAGGATAGATATCCTTGGTCCTTAACACGCCAGGTAGAATGTCTCCTGCAGCTCCCCAGGAGCTCCTTGTGCAGGGTGACCCTGAGAACCTCTCAAGGCCACCACGGACTCCCAAGTGGAGAAACAAAACACCCTGTCTCTCAGCAGCAGCGCTGATTTCTGTTCTCTTCCTGGAAAGAAGCTCTCTTTGACTTTCTCTGGCTCTAAAGGAACAAACCCTCCCTTGAAGGGAATTATAAAGGAACAAAGGCAGAGTCACCGTCCCAAGACACCGGCACTTCAGGAGCAGTTGGGCTGACTGAGAAAACAGTTCCTCCTTAGTGGAGGGACGCCTTATCTGTTTAATTGATCTGCTTTCCTTTCTCTGAATAAAGGCTATCATGTGGCAGAGGCAGCACCCAGACGCTGGCAAGCTGACAGCAAAGGTCGCACACTGAGGACCAGCTGAAACGACTCACCTGCAGACTCCTTCGAGCAAGGAGGTTGGCCGCCGCTTAGGACCCCAGAAAACAGGGGAATTCTCAGGAAATAACACAGAGGATGCTCAGCTGTGCTGGTGTCTCTTAGCCTAACATTGCCCAGGCAGCACCTCCAGTTCTATCTACACTGAGACCTAACGTCTTCAGTTCCCGAAGCAGGAGTCTTGGTTTTGCCAAAACCCTATACAACTTCAAAGTCTCTGCACAGCAAACACGAGCTGTCTTAACCTGCCAGCCAGGGCCTGGGACACCTGACTCTTTTCCATCCTGATACCCCACAGGCTCCCAGGTTGTGTCCCACCTCAGTATGTTTGTTTGCCTCCTTACCTTTTAATAGCAAATATAACGGCTCCAACCCCATCTTTCAGGGCTCAGCCTAGGGTGAGGCAAGTGAGTGCTCACCTGGGGGCCCCATAAACATCAGATCAGAGATAAAGAATATTTCAATGACATATTTTTAAAAGTCAAAATTAATGCAAAATGAAGAATTTCATCACCTATTCCATATAAATCTATATCCCTTCCTACTTGAGAACTTCTGAATATGTCTGTATTAAAGAGCAAATTGTACTATATGTTTTGAGCGTTAAATTTTTACATGATTAAAAATGTTTTTCTTTTCTAATAAAAAACTAATGCAAAATAATGCAAGATGAGCAAAATATGAAAATGTAAATAAACACAGGGCTCCGAAGGGGCAGAAATTACCATGAGACAAGGGGACACGATTGAGCACTGTGTACGGAGGACGAGGGTCTCGTGTAGGTTGGGTCTCATCTTTAATCATCATTCTGGTCCTTTGTTCCTCATGGGGCTACTTCAGTCATTTTAAACATTTCACAATACTGCATTGGAGTCTGATTTGGCTTGCTTACACCTTCTGCCCAGGTCCTCACCTCAACCTTCGCCCAGGCGATGACAGAGGGCTTACGGCGTGCCAGGTGCAGGTGGAGCATCTTTGAGCAGTTGTCAGGGCCAGGAGCCTGGAAGGTCTCTGCCCTCTCAGTCCCTCGTTCACCAGGAGGAACGGGAAGGGCCAGGAGGCAAGAAGCCAGCCCAGGGTGGTGCTGAGACCAGACTCCCGCCCCAAAGGCCTTGTTCCTGTGGTCCCTCTCCTACTGACAATTTCATGCTGCAACTCCCATCAGAGGAGCCACACCGAGGCCCAGAGAAGCAGAGTGTCCCTGAACGCCGGGACAGAGGATGCGCAGAGGTCACAGCAGCACAGAGCTGGCGGGGGGGCAGAGAGGCCCCAGGGCAGCAAGGATGTCCGCTCCCTGCCTACACGCCAGCCGACACGCTCTCCCCCTGAGCGCCGAGCACCATTATGACCGAGGGCCCGACAGCCGCAGCCCCGACACCTGCCTGTCCCGCAGCTGCCTGCCCAGCTCCCCCTCCCATGCCAGCCTCCGAGCTCTGTGAAACTGCGGAGCCACGCTGCCTGTTCCAGGCAGGTGTCTCGTCATTCACGGCACAGTGAATGATGCCTACTGTGTTTCTATAGCACTTTCCTAATAACACTCTCTTTTAGAATTATTTTTTATTGAAGGATAATTGCTTTGCAGAATTTTCCTGTTTTCTGTCAAACCTCGACATGAATCAGCCATGGGTACACACATATCTCCTCCCTTCTGAACCTCCTCCCATCTCCCTCCCCTTCCACCCCCCTAGGGTTGATACAGAGCCCCTGATTGAGCTATCTGAGCCAAACAGCAAATTCCCACTGGCTATCTGTTTTTACACATGGTGATGTAAGTTTCCATGTTACTCTCTCCATACATCTAAAACTACGGAATGCTCCACAAATTTGCGTGTCATCCTTATGCAGGGGCCACGCTACTCTTCTCTATATCGTTCCAATTTTAGTGAATGTGCTGCTACAGCAAGCACCCTAATAATCCTTCTATCGAGTGCTAAGTTCTTTTTCTGGACAATATGTTCAACTCTCACTTCTCTCCGTAGTTGTTTTTATTCACATCCTTAGTGGGTGGAGAAACTGAGGCCCAGAGAGGTCAAAGATTTTGCCTAAGGTCACACAGCAGTGACTCAACTCAAATTCAGAGTTATCTGACCCCAAAGCTCACCTTGTAACCAGCACCACACATTCCTATCCAGTAGCTCATCTGTACTTTCAACCACTCGGGTATTTGTAGATGAGCAATCTGAGACTCAACAAGTTCAAGCTGCCCATTCCCAAGATCACTGAGACAGCCAGTGCAAAGGAGAGACCTTGAACATGGGCTTTCTGGTTTTAAAACCATGATCCCTTTACACTGGGCATCACTCTTCCTCAAACTTAGGCTAACCAGTGAGATGAGAACAGATACACATGAGTTTTATGACGGTTCACTGACCTGTGGTCCAGCTATTCCTGGGGGCCCTGGGAGGCCTCTGGGCCCAGCATCCCCCTGCAGCAGGAAGAACAGGGAGGAAAAAAAAAAAAAAAACAGCAGGAGTAAGTGTCTGGACCTGACATATGGCATCATCAGCAAGATGTCCACGTCCGTATCATTCACTGATTTTCCATGGGATTCCCAGCTCCCTGCTCACCCCCCAGCATGTCTGAGCAAAGAATATAGGCAGGTAGTGATAGGGTATGTGGCTGTGCATTCACAGGTATAATCCACCTGCAAAGTGGTGACTGGTGCAGGAACCAATGCCCAAGGTGACCCCAATGATCCTCGCCTCCCAACGGGTACCAGAGAGGCAGTGCCGGAGTTTCCAAGATGTTTCATTTCATCCCAATGACAAAAACTAAGTCTCCTCTTTTGTTCCTACCTTTTTCCCTTCTGTGCCTTCTCTCCCTGGCTTTCCTGGGAGACCTTTGTCCCCTTTAAAACCTGGAAGACCAGGAAGGCCTGGGGGGCCCGGGGGACAGTCATTGCACACGTCCTGAGAGAAAAAGTAACACAATAATACAGTTACTTGTAAAACAAAAGGTGACCCATAGCTCCAACCCCTCCAGACAGGAGGAAGCCAGCAAATGATGAAAAAGCAAACGGGTAGATGGAGTCATTACCCACACAGCCTGTGTCAAACGTTTTTCTCTCTTATTCTTAAACTAGGTTTCAGCATTGATATATCTGTATTATTACTGCATGTCTCCCTACTTCCAGCCAGACAGCTGAAATGTAGCCCAAGACCAAGACGTCGAAAGTACATGTATCGATGTCTGTGAACATCTAAAAATATTCACGGTACAGATTTAAAGCAAGCATTTAGTACTGTAAGAAACAGCATGCTTTGTCCCTAAAACCAGAGACAAAACAATGCTGAAAGTTGAATTCTCTGTCTCACAGGTTTATCTCAGTGGTTTCTGAACAAAAAGGCAAAATAAAGAATGCAAGAGGCAACCCCACTCCGCAAGGTCTTGCTCACTGTAACACACACCAAGTATCACCTGTCATTCTTCTTAGTCCAAGTGAAAGTTACTCAGCCGTGTCCGACTCATTGCAACCCCAAGCACTCTACAGTCCCTGGAATTCTCCAGGCCACAATACTGGAGTGGGTAGCCATTCCCTTCTCCAGGAGATCTTCGCAACCCAGGGATGGAACCCAGGTCTCCCACATTGCAGGCAGGTTCTTTACCAGCTGAGCCACAAAGGAAGCTCTTCTCAGTCCAAAGTAGGTATTTAATCAAGGTTCCCTGGAATGGAGTTTTGCTCCTCGGCTCTGTGGCAGGTGAGTTCTGTCCCTGGAGTGAACTTAAGGCCCAGGGAACCTGTTCTCGAGCTTGTCTGTGTCATCCCCAGATCTTACAGTTTGGAGCACAGTAAACCCCAAATGAAATTCACTGGCTTGACCACCCTCTCATCCAACTCAAACCCCAGCGTCTCGGACTGCTCCTTCATTTTGCTGTTGTTGTGACCCCATCGACTCCTCTGTCCGTGGAATTTCCCAGGCAAGCATACTGGAGTGGGTTACCACGTCTCCCTCCAGGCGATCTTCCTGACCCGGGGATCCAACCCATGACTCCTGTGTCTCCTGCATTGCAGGCGATTCTTTACCATGGTGCTCCTTCCATGCCTTCACTCTACTCCTGTCTTTTCCCCCCACTCCCTCCTTGTGACAAAGGTTAAATAAAGTAAAACAAGGATGGCTCTCAGAACAGTGCCAGATCATTTCCAGAGCATTCAGCTGTTGTTATGAATTCACATACTCAGCCAGCGGCTCCCTTGCTCTTGGGCGCTACATTCTTCTGCTTCGAGACCACAGTAAACAGTGTCTTGAAGAGCTCATGGATCCATGGCAGCAACTGACAGAGGAAAATGCACTAATTCGGGCCCTTGGGATGCTCCACTGGAGAGGTCGGCAAAGACTTGCCCACGTTCACGGGGGTGATGTCTCAGGTGACCTGGCACTCATCTTGATCTCTAATTCAGGATGGATGGGCTTTCATCAACAAAAAAGCAACTCTGAGCAGTCCGCCTTCCTTTTAGGTTCTCATGCCTACCCAGTCTTTGATGTTTCTTCAGAGGCGTCCTACTCCAAGAAGTCCTCCTGATTGCTTCACACTGGGGATATTTCTGTCTCACTATTGAGGTGGTCTCTTTATAGCTCCATGCCCTCTCCACCGAGCCGGAAAAAAAAAATGTGTGAGCTCTCTGAGGACAGAAGTAGAGTTGCTTTATCTCTGTGTGTCTGATTTATAGCAAATTGAGATCTGTAATGAGGGGCCCAGCTGACCCAACCACCAATCACTGATCTTCGCACGCTTAGAGCTATCTTCCTTTAGTGGGTGGTTTCAGAAGCTGACTGAAATGCTGAGGCTGCTACATGTTGGGTATGTGAAGAAACGGCAAATTAGATAAGTTGAAGGGCACTGTTCTCAATTGCTGTTGTTTGGAAGGGTGACAGACTAGGGAGAAACTCGTCTATTCCTAGACCTTCTCTATAGTTGTTTAGGATACATCTGTGAAATAGGGCAACCACAGACACAGGATGCATGGAAACAGAGCTAGGCTGGTTGCAGAAGGACGTCCAGACACTAAGATGTTGTGGACCTGGAGGGTGCAGTGGGATCCACAGCACAAAGCAATCATGTCTGAGACAAAACCTCACTACTTTCCGATTTCTTGTCAATTTCTGGTGTGGATAAGTCAGCCTGAGTGTGTGTTAATCACACGTTCTGTGAGCACTGTTACCTGATGGCCAGGGCAGCCCCCAGACTTGCTAGAGCCAGGCTGGACTTAACATACAGACCTGGTTCTGGAATCCAGTGCTCACAGGGTGAGACCAGCCCCTGACCTGCTCTCCCACCAAGGCTCTGGTGCCCGTGGGACCCCAGCCCCTCCTGATCTGGGACACCTGAGTCATCTTGACTGGCACTGGGACCCAGGCGGACTGCCCCCAAACATGTCTCAGTGGCATATTAATTATTGTGAATTAAAGTTACTTAAGAAATGGCCAGTGTAAGACAGACATTGATACTTCTGTCTCACTGAAAATAGGAAATAAACCTCTCATGTGAAAGGGGCCCTCCCTGCATTTGGAGGTGGGAGGACACCTTTATCCCCAGAAACAGGGATTTCAGGGCCAAGAAGCCTGTACAAATCTTCATTTTTAATTTACTACCCTGAACCCAAGCTCTGCTTAAAGTTTTCACTAATTAAGCACCCAAAGCCTATGTTTCTTTGCCCTGTCAGTTCCTCACAAATGTCTTATGTCTTTACATACAAAGTATAAAAGCTGCCTGTTTTGGCCACTTTTTAGGTCTCATTTCTAGGAGACCTCCATGTGCACAAATTAAAACTTATTTTGCTCCTGTTAATGTCTTGTGTTAATTTTTAGTCCCACCACAGGAACTCAAGAGGACCCAGAGGTGGAATTTTCTCCCTCCCCATCACCAGCCAGAGTTTTGTGTCTAGCTGGATGGGCTCGCCCAGACCACAGTGAAGCCTCTGCCCACTTGCAGTCACGGCTACACCTCTCCAAGCCTCAGTCTCCCTTTCTGTGAGATGAGAACCTCAGATTCTGGGGAGAAATACATGGCAAGAACACAGGAGTTTCAGCTGCCATGTGCATCCCTGTGGTTTCAGCTCTAATTTTCCTCTCTTTGTCCCACTGGCAGATCAGAGATGACCCAGCTCATCAATTCTGCTCCCAACTCTTCCACTTAACTGAGTCATCTCAGGCAAGCCACTTTAGTTCCTTTGAGTCCACTTCCATATCTGTTAACAAGGCTCTTTCTCCTACCTTAGGAGACAGCATAAAATTTAATACGTGTGAAGCATCTAGCATGTTGCAAGCTCCAATGTGTCAATGCAGACTCCCCTTTGCCTCCATCCCCTTCCTATTTCCTGAGAAATTTTCAGCAAACCTTGTGTCATTGTATTTGGTGCAGGAGAGCAGACAAAGCAAGCGCTCAAAACTGCATAAACCTGGAGGGATTCTGCAATCTCTTGCCATGCACAGAAACCATCACTAGATCATCTCACGGATTCTTGAACCCTCAGTGCACATTCATGCCAAGTGTGTAGCCTACACCTCAAGCCTCTAGCTGACAGCCAAGGAACTCACTACCTGCCTGTCTTGCATCAGGAAGCTTGGATACTCAAAGATGAAGTCACATAGCAGAGGGGCTGAGAGCATGAGGAACTAGAGCTGGTCACACTGGGAGCGAGTGTTGGCTCTGCCACCGTCCAGCTCTGTCACCTTAAACAAGTGTCTGGCCCATCCATGCCCACCTCCTGCTCTGCACAAGGCAGCAGGTAATAGTACCCAAAGTCCATATAGTCAAAGCTATGGTTTTTCTAGTAGTCATGTATGGATGTTAGAGTTGAACTATAAAGAAGGCTACACACCAAAGAATTGATGCTTTCTAACTATGGTGCTGGAGAAGACTCTTGAGAGTTCCCTGGACAGCAAGGAGATTAAACCAGTCAATCCTAAAGGAAATAAACCCTGAATATTCATTGGAAGGACTGATGCTGAGGCTGAAGCTCCAACACTTTGGCCACCTGATGTGAAGAGCTGACTCACTGGAAAAAACCCTGGTGCTGGCAAAGATTGAAGGCAGGAAGAGAAGTGGACGACAGAGGATGAGATGGTTGGATGGAATCACTGACTCAATGGACATGCGTTTGAGCAAACTCTGGGAGATGGTGAAGGACAGGGAAGCCTGGCGTGCTGCCAAGTCCATGGTGTCACAAAGTTAGACATGACTGAGCGACTGAACAACAACAGTAACTGGGTTGTTGGCAGGAATTGGGTGAAATAATATTTATCCTGGGTTTCATCTAACGGAGTGGCGTTCATCGGGAAGGTATCATCCTTGGGCACAGATCCATCCACGCAAGTTCAGTAAACAGGAACTCTTAGAATATGAAGTCTCTACTCAGGCAGTCTTCCAATGACCAGAATGAGGCAAATTTTCTGTAATCAAAGATGCCTTCTCAGCAAGAGAGGGTCTCCCCTACCATCCACCTGGACCAGACAGCCCATGAGGCTTTAACCAACATCAAGATGGCAGTGGGTGATTATACACCAGGGAGCCAGGACAGTGACTCTGCAGACCTGGGCAAACCACGAGGACCAGGCTCTCATCTGCAGAGTTTCCAGGCAAAGCACAGCTCTGGAAGGCCAGGGAGTCTCAGGTGCTTCCCTGAAGGTAGGTGCTCACATTCTCTCTGCAGTTCCTAGCTGCTCAGAGGATCACAGCTACATCCTTTGCAGGTCAGAAGCATCAGTTTGACTAAACGTCTGTCTCAATGCCGCAGCCTTAAAGCACACAGCAATCATTCCTGCTATCCCTGCCTTAAAGACGGGGACACTTTGAGGCTGGAATCCTTGAGGGGAGGTGGGGGACAAGAACCAAGGCAAACCCAATGCCTTCCAGTGGGACAGAATTAGGGAAAAATCACCTAGACTAAAAAGCCTGTACTAAACAAGACCTGAATCAATAGATAATGATTTCTTGCAGTGTTCTGGTTGTAAAAAAAAATCTCCCTCGTCAGTAAAAATCAAGAAAGATTGCTCCACTCCTCATTTTTAAATAAAATGTATCATTTTCCATCAAGGCATCTCAGTGTGCCAGAGAGATGAAAAGTCCCAGGCTTCTGCGGTTTCCTTTTTCCTTTTGCTCTCCTCCCTCGCTCTCACGCAAGAACCAGGTGCTTTCAGATGCCTCCCAAGTGGTTTTGAGAAGACAGGAGATGAGGAAGGGGGTGGTCGCACAAAACGCAGGGCTGGGCTCCACCCAGAGTTCAGACCAAGGCTGAGAAAAGAGGCAGCAAAGGGTCCCCCACATGCGCGGCCACAGGACGGCTCTTCCAGAAACGGATCTCACACCCGCTCGGTCCTGCCTTCCCCCGTTCTTCTCCGTCCAAGACCCGAGGTCCCTGGCCGAGCTCCCAGGCAGCCAACTCTCCACACAGTATCTCAACCGAGCTCTTCTCAGCTCACGTCCCCTGCCCCGGGGAGAGGGTGCAATGGTTCTGACAATGAGCTCCGTCTGCGCTCGGATCCAGACTGCCTGGCCAAGGGCCCAGCACCTCACTCCATCGCTTTGCCCTGGACCCGGCACCAGCATGACCCCCACCCAACCTGCTGGATTCTGCCCAGGTCTGTCTTTTCAGAACCCCAGGACGCAGTCCTGTGCGGGGTCCAATGTCAGTCTCTGAACTCACTGAGGACCGGATTCTATTCCCAGAAAGTCACTGACCTTCATGGTGACTCAGGTTTCTAACAAACGAAGTGCTAGTCACTAAGTCTCATCTGACTTTTTGCGACCCTGTGGACTATAACCCACCAGGCTCCTCTGTCCATGGGATTCTCCAGGCAAGAACACTGGAGTGGGTTGCCATTCCCTTCTCCAGGGGATCTTCCCGATGCAGGGATCAAACCCGGGTCTCCTTCATTGCAGGCAGATTCTTTACTGTCTGAGCCACCAGGGGAGCCCTATAAAGGGTGACATGCATCCCTGGGTGGGCTCAAACCACCAACCTTCCGGTTCACCGCCGGATGCGCTGACTGACTGCACCGCAGAGACACCAGGACAGTCTTCAAATCCCCTGGAGAAGGGAATGGCTACCCACTCCAGTGTTCCTGCCTGGAGAATCCCATGGACAGAGGGGCCTGGCAGGTTGCAGACCATGAGGTTTCAAAGAGCCTGACATGCTGAGCAACTAACAAGCAAAATGAGAACATAAACGGTACCAACCTCCTGGAACAATTGCAGATACGAGGGATGCACATGAAGCATTAACCACAGCACCACCCGGAAGGACTTCCCGTGACAACAGATCTTATTGTCCAATAAGACAGCCAGGAGCCACAGGTGGCAAGTAAGTACTTAGGATGTAGCTAGTGTGACCAAAGACTAGAATCATTTTTTTCATTAAACTTAAACTTAAATTCACACATGTGGCCAGTGGCTTCTGTGCTGGACAGTGGATTTTAGCACATTGCTGGCACGGCATGTTCTCAAGACATATTGTTATAGTTGTTTATATTCTAATGTAGTTGCTCAGACCAAAAAAAAAAAAGACCATATTATTGACATCACCAGTCTCCCTGTCACAACTCTCAAAAAGCATGCACATTTATGTTTTTACCTTCACCAAGAGATTTACGTCCCCTGGAGACAGTACTGAAGAGGGGCCCTGTCAAAGTAAAAATAAATAAATACATACACACACACATGCATGCACACTGCATATCCCGTGCTTCAGCAGCGAGCAGACTTCAAAATGTGACTGTAACAGGTGACCCATCTACACAGGACACAAAGAGCCTGGTCTACGCCCCACACTTGGGAACCACAGGCAGACTCTTCTGAGCAGTCCTAACATCAGACTTTCTGGTCCTGGTCTTTCTGGGCCTCTCTCTCTCCTGCTGGCCCCTCCTTCTCCTTCCAGCACCACCAGCAGGTCCCACGGGTACTGCGGAAGACAAAGGGGCAGGCTGTCCTTTATTCCAGGTGGGTAATAGCTGCCACTGTCACTCACAATCTAGTATGAATCTAAAGCAATTCCTTCAGCTCTCCCAGGTGAAATAGCATTTTAAGCCTCATTCGTCTTTATGAGTTGGAAGTCTCTAACTTCAGGAAGGAGAGTTCAGAAATCAAAGCCTCTGAAGGTGTGAAGGAGTCTGCAGGTCACTGGGTTCACACTCAAACCCACGGTGAGTTGGGAAGTGGCGTGTAATGACCGTGGCCAGCCCAGAGCCCAAGTGGAGTGGAGGCTGGGGGAAGAGGGATTCTTAAGTAAGGACTGGAGACTGGCGTGCTACTCTGCAAACTTCTCCAAGTTGCAGTGGACAAGGAGTGCCAGAGAGCCCATTGTCCAGAGGGAAGGGGGCAGGTTTCCTCCAGAATGTGGGAAGCCGGTGACCACAATCAGACTTGTGGTAGCTGGTTCCTTCTGATTAAGTCTGAGTTCAGGTTTATGAACTGTGAATCCAGTCTAGCCTGTTACAGAGACAATTTCCTGGCTGCCCCACTTTCCCTGACTCCATGGGGTTTCTGCCACATCCTGTGGCTGCAGACAGTGGCAGAGGCATTGTGTAAGTTTGCATAGGATAACCTTGGCACTGGCTGGGTGTACGCCATGCTTCCTGAGCTGAAATGCTCAAGTATTCAATCACTGCCCTGGGTTGCAAGAGGATGCCACCTGAGAGAGACTGGGGTCGGACTGAGTCAGAGTCAGAGGTTCTGAAGGGGCCCGTGGCCTCCAGGGAGAGCTCGCCTAGGCTGCACCTGCTGGACAAAGCCTAGAACACCCTTAGTTATCGGAGACCAACCCTGGGAAAGAAGGCCAACCTGTGCCACATGCTGATTGAGTAAAACTTTAAAAGGGGAGAGGGGTTTTATTTTGACACTGCATGTTTTCCCCTGGCAAGTTAATAACATAAGATTCATCCTGTCTAAATTGGGAGGTCTTTTTTCTCTTACAAATTGGGATATTTTTATACTGCTGGCCTTGTATCCTGGGGGCTATTTTTCTGCTGACATTTGAGCCCTCTGTAGAGTTGTTAGAGCTCCATGAGCACTGCTGGGCATCAGTTAGGAGAGAGAGAACAAGGGGTGGATTTCCCGTCTAAGTACAGTGTGCCCTGGGGATAATTTAATCAATACCCTGTTGTGACCCATTTCTGTGGGCCTCCTGAGAGAGGTCTGAACACACAGGAGCAAGGCCGGTGAGGAGGCCGTGGCCAGTCGGTGGCTGATGGGTAGGAAGTGCAGGGGTGCAGAAAGACAGTCTGTGCCCTGCCCAGGCTCTCATTACCTCCTGGGCACCAGCCACCTGCTGCCAGGATGCTGGCTGGCTGGTCACAGAGACGCCAGCTACAGCCACTGACGGACTGATGTGCAGGTGAGTGAGAGCCGCTTCCTGACGGGCCAACTCTGTTCACTGCTCACACCCGAGCGCTCCCGGTGGGGTCAGGCCAGGGCTGGATGCCGGCTGAACCCACCACTCCGACTGCCTCTTCGCCCACCATACCCTGCTTCCTTTCATCTTAACAGGCGTCACCTTAATCAATCATTAGGCACAAGAATCCCCACCAGAGGCTTTCTAGAGCACCCAAGTGTAGACAAGGGATTCCTGCTACTGGGATTCTAGGGGTGCAGCCCTGGAGGAACCCCACCCAGGGCCCACTGTCCACCCTCGGAGGGCTGGTGACCACAGGAGAGGCCTTGGTTGTCCCAACCCTTCACATCCCAAAGAATGGCCCCAGCTGCTCTGGAAAGATGACTACTGTCCTTGGAATGCCCTGCCTGAGAAGAGTGCCTTTGGTTACCTAGGGCCTTGGGCCATGCAGTTAACAGTGTCGTCTAAGGTGGGGGCCTAGGGCCAGGGAGTGTCAGTCTGACCTCTGGGAGGGCAGGAGACGGTGGAGTGACCAAGACCACCCACGAAGGCAAGCCTGGTCTGGGTGAGCATCCGTCAATGGCAACCCCTGCTGAATTTCAGACCATTCAGGGTCACCCCCGTGGACTTGGATTACACACAACTTTTGGGAGAGCCGAGTAAGAGGCGGGGACACAAGGAGGCCCAGCCGCGTGTCTCGGGGGCTCCTTCCCTGGACTAAACCATCATCCTGAGTGTAACAGCTCTCCCGAGCTCTGGGGGCCCTTCTGGTGAGTCACTGAACCTGAGGGGAGTCCTGGAGACCCCTGAGAATGTGACTCATCTGATTATCGAGACCAGAGACCCTGACAGCAACTCAGCATACCCAGGACCACGTTGGGGGAGTGTGTTCTGTGAACTTAAAGGGAGTCAAGAGAGACCGATGCTCTCTGTCTGCCAGAAACCAGCTCTGAGACGTCAGGGTTAGCCCATCCAGTCCGCTGGACTCTGCGGACACACTTCTCTCTGCAGAGGTGTCAAGGTCTGGATTTGGCAGAGGTCATCTGGACCCCCTTCAGCCCTTAGCTTGAACCTTGACTCTTCCACCCACTTCACCAGGGCCTGGCACTTGGGTACTGGAGTTTTATTTGGCTGCTGTAAATCCGACTCCGTAGAGGAGGAGGAGCATATGAATAAGTACCCCCAACCTCCAGCAAGACTTTTCAGTCATCCCTCTGGCAGGTCTTAATGAAGTTTCAGGACGCTTCTAGGAGACCAGGATGCCCCTCCAGGCGTCTGCTGCGCCCAGCAGCCTGGACGAGGCAGAGACAGACGCTCTCACCCTCAGGGGCCTCCAGGCCTCGGGTCTCTGCCTGACTGGCACCTGCAGCAGGCCGGGCTCCCAGAGCAGGCGGACAGCCATGCTGAGGGCAAGCCTCTGCCCAGGGGAGTCCCTGGTTTCTGAAGCCAGTCTCGAGCCTGGGACTCCCCAGTCGTGGCTGCCACTGTCTCTTCCTTCACGGGCAGCAGGTTTCAAAGGGCTGATTTCTCCTGTATCTTCCCAGCGGCTTCCTGCCCACCCAGACCTGCTCATCCTCACTGTTCCTTCCCTGGAGGGCCCACCGGTAGCCTGGTTAGGTGGCTAAGCCTTCAGAGCATCTCTGGAGTTGGTAACTTAATCTGGGGGCTGGGTTCCCAGAGCTGATGCACTGCACACGAGGGACGCCTGCAGGAGCCGAGACCATGGCCATGATGCCCGGGACCAGACGCTCAGGACTGTCTCGTCCTGCACAAGCTCCTGTAGCTCTCCTTACGAGAGAAGAAAGAAAGTTTCTACTCTAAAAGGGGGGAAACCAGAAAGAACTGACATTGCTGAGAAAAAGGGCAGGACACAGGCCAGTGAGGAGCAGGCCATGGACAAGAAGTGGCTCTTGTCCATTTGCTCACCCCCAGGTCCCCATCCATCCCTCTCAGTCCTGCTCCAAGTCCTGGGGGTGTATCAGGGGACTCACCTGCCTCTGGCGCTCAGGCGAGCTGGACCAAAGAGAGGCACACAGGGAAACCAGGGGTGGGGGGCACTGCTCCCTCCCAGCCTCTGGCCAGGCTTCCTGGCAGTGGCTCTGAACCCGCAATTTCTGCTCCCATCTGGCAGTCCCTTCCCCACCATTCCGGCTTTCTCTTGGCTCTGAAGATGAGCGCAAGGTGGTACTGGCTTCCCACCATGTTTATCTCTGGGCATCACAGCCACCTCTGATTAGTTCCCTCTGCCCACAGCTTTGTAAAAAGCCCCTTCTTCAAGCTTCTTGAGCCATCCGAGTTGCATTTTATTCTGGCTGAACCCCTGATGGCCAAGATTCATCCAGAACAGTTAGATGACATACTGGTTTGCCAGGAGGCCCTCTTTCTCCTGGATTTCCTGGTGCACCCTAAAAGAAGGGAGAAAGCAAACATTAACTCTGCTAAGCACGTCATCCTGATCCACTCTGCCCAGCCTCTCCCCCAACCTCTCTATCTGCCAAGTGCACCTCAGGAGAAAACAGATCGCCCAACCGTCAAGACTGGTGCCAACAAAAGCCCACAGCTTCCGACCTCAGCTGCAGACCCCGAGCCTCTCAGGGTACATCAACCGGGCCAATGCTCAGAGCAGTGAGCCACCCTGCTCAGGAGCCCTTTCCAAAACACAAAATTGGAAGTGCGTACGTGTGTGTGCACATGTGGACACACACTCACACATCTAATCTTCAACTCCGGCCGTCTTTTCAAACACAGGCAGGAGGACCGACTTTGAAAAAGAGAAGGGCGAAACAGCAGGAGGTGTTGTGTGGGATACACCCAGAATTACAAGGTTCTGAGAGCATCACACAGAAGCAAAAGGACTGCAAGCAGACAACACACGATTAGAGGTCACGGTGAACACACAACAAGCTCCTGGGGGAGCGGGCGGGGCTCAGTGCAGAAAACAGCTCCTCCAGGGGTTCCCTGGTCAAGGGAGGCCAGGAGAGGGGAGGGCAGGGTCACCTGCAGCCCTTGCCTTTACTTACATCCTGGCCAGCTGGTCCCTGGGGGCCGGGAAAACCAGGTGGGCCTCGAGATCCCTGAAGAAAAAGAAGACATCCCTCAACAGTTAAAACACAAACCAAGGGCCCCCTTTCCTGGGGTCGGTTCTCCTTGACCAACCGTCTGGTGCTCTGAGCAGCCGGATGGAATGTGGGTCCCTGAGAGCAGCCTGGGCTGAGGAGCAGCTGTCTTCAACACACAGAGAGAACACTCCAGAAAACCTCCCCCATGAGCCCGACTGCCCAGGCCCCTTCGCAGGCCCCCTTCCTACTCCTGCAGGGACGGGCCTGAGCTCACCCCGGGCGCAGGGTCGGTTACCAGCCTCGGGGGCCCGCCGGCGGGACAGACTGACCTGCGAGAGGCCCAGTGCAGAGCTCGGCACTCAAGTGACTGTTAACTATTTTTTATTGCAAAGTCGTTGCCATCCTACTGATAATTTCCAGACGGTATCAGGAGTCGGCCCAAATCATCTTTCAATTACGGATCTCACTTCCTACAGGAAATCTTCCTAGACCTTCCGTCCCGCCTCACAGATTAAGAGAGCGCCCTCACTGGCTCCTGGCTCTGTGGCTGGGGGCAGTGAAGCCGGGATTCAAAATTGCTTCCTCTGGCAACATGATGACATGCGTGAAACCACAGCTGTCCGTCTAGAGGGAAGCAGAGGTGGCAAAAAGCAAAGGCAGCACCGGTCTCTCCAGCTGTCACTGAGCTCACGGCACGGGACGACCCGCCTCCCGACTCCACCATTCCACAGCTGAGTGCCTGGGTCTTGGAGAGTCTGCACTGTGTAACGTTAAAGAATTTTTTTTTTAACTACTGTCTTTGATGCCCCTCCAACTTCAAATGGCTATGATTAGCGCATAATTTCTCCCATCAAGACACAGCCCTGTATTTAAATCATACTGTACCGGGGGACCTTTCTCTCCTGGTGGTCCAGAGGGGCCCTAAGAAACAAACAGACAAGACAGTAAGCAAACTGGAAGGGAAATGTTTGTTTAAACGTGCTGTGGTGTTCATCTCTGAGGCTAGGTCCTTGAGGAAGAGCTAACGCCCTCCCATCTTTTTTTTTTTTTTTCCATTTATTTTTATTAGTTGGAGGCTAACTACTTTACATCATTGCAGTAGTTTTTGTCATACATTGAAATGAATTAGCCATGGATTTACATGTATTCCCCATCCCGGTCCCCCCTCCCACCTCCCTCTCCACCCGATCCCTCTGGGTCTTCCCAGTGCACCAGGTCCGAGCACTTGTCTCATGCACCCAACCTGGGCTGGTTATCTGTTCCACCCTAGATAATATACATGTTTCAATGCTGTTCTCTTGAAACATCCCACCCTCGCCTTCTCCCAGAGCTTTTTATTTTGTCTTGGGGTATAGTTGATTGACAGTGTTGTGACAGTTTCAGGTGGACAGCAGAGGGACTCGGCCATACGTGTACACGATCCATTCTCCCCCCAACTCCCCTCCCATCCAGGCCATCACATAACCTTGAGCAGAGCTCCCTGTGCTGTATAGTATGTCCTTGTTGGCTGTCTATTCTAAATACAGCGGTGTGTACACGTCCATCCCAAACTCTAACTGCCCCTTCCTCCCCTCCTTTCTCCCAGGCAACCATAAGTCTGTGAGCTGGTTTCTGTTTTGTAACTTCATTTGTATCATTTCTTTTTAGAGTCCACATGTAAAGGATGTCACATGATGTTTCTCCTTCTCCTTCTGACTTACTTCACTCACTATGACACTCTCTAGGTCCACCCATACTGCTGCAAATGGCAACAGTCATTCTTTTTAAGGGCTTCCTGCATCTTTAAGGCACAGCGTCATCCCCTCTCTCACGCACCCACTATCGCTGTGTGTGGGGATCCTCCTGGAACCTTCTCCATCTGCCCTGCATTGGTGCTGCCCCATCCTGCACCCAGCGGGTGTCTGACGCCTAGCCCATCTCTAGCCCTGGTGTGGAGTGGACCCCATGTTTCAGCATTCTTGTGCTGTGTGCCCTGCTTGCTTGGGTAGGATGGGTGGGGAAAGGGTCACGTCTGGACCCCCCAGAGTGGGCTGCGTGGCTGATGCTGCAGCGGTGCCCCTCCCTGCACACGCACGCATGCATACAGATACACGTGCGCATGCGCGCACACACACATCAGGGTCTGCCATCCCACACGTGGGACCAGCCTACAACCTGGCTTCCCGAGCTGCACTGCAGAGGCGCGCCGTGCCTGAGGCACTAGTGTTGAGTGGCAGGCCCCGAGTGAGCGGCACTGGCCCTGGGCCCCAGGCCTTCCCATCTGCAGAGAAGACGCCGCCCTGCCCGCCTGCCTGGACACGTTCTCCTTGCCACACGTGGGTTCTCAGGGCAGATGTCGGCACCCTTGGACGTCTCCCAGGCCTCTCCCAGGGGGCTCGTTAGAACCGGTGCCCAGCCCCTGGGTCACCCCATCTGGGACGGATGGCCTGGTACTGTCAGCGCTTCCAGGCCTGTCTGTCCTCTCTCCTCTGCCCTGGGAGCGCTCAGCACGCACTCTCCAGGACTCAGCCCCGGGAAGAGCCGGGACACAGCAGAGCCCAGCACACGGCATGCTGCTAAAACTAAAACTTCGTGGCATGAGAACTTGAAAATCAAGTGTTATCATCCTCATCACTGATGATCAAACTAAGGCCAGAAGAGACAAAGAACCAGCCCAAGCCACATCGCGAGTCCCTCTCCAGGTGGGGTGAGTCCCACCACCCGTTCTCCGTCCCGGGCACCCAGGAGAACCTCCGAGATATCTGAAGAGGGAGCAGAGATTTCACACAAACGCACAGGCCCCAGACAGTACGACAGACCAGGTAACCTAAAAGCCTGCCCATTAAATACGTCCCAGAAATTCCTGATAAAATAAAATAAGCATCGTTCTCAGTGTAGAGTTGAGCACTAAAGTAGGGGAAACTTCCAGACAACTAAGTCAAGCAGGTAAGCAGACAGTGAGCTCCAGGCTTCCCTGGTAGTCCAGTGGGCAAGAGTCTGCCTCGCGATGCAGGGGTCGGTGGGGGTGCGGTGTGTGTGCTCAGTAGTGGGCCTCTTTGCAACCCCATGGACTTTGGGACCCCATGGAGCTCTAGCAGACACCTATGTCCATGGAATTTTCCAGACAAGAATACTGGAGTGGGTTGCCATTTCCTACTCCAGTACGTTACTCGTATCAACCTAAAAAATCCTCCCAAGAAACACAAACAGCCCTTTTAACCCTCATAGAAGATTTCTATAAGAGCAATACATGACATAATTTCCTTATTGTGCTCTGAAAATATTTACTGGGAGCCTCACATACACCAAGCATGGTAGACAGGGGCCATGGGTTCAGTCCCTGGTCTGGGAAGATTCCACGTGCTAAGCCCGTGTGCCACAGCTCCCGAGCCTCTGCTCTAGAGCCCGAAGCCTCAGCTACTGAAGCCCGTGCAGGTCGAGCCCGTGCTCTGCAACAAGGGAAGCCAGCGCAAAGGGAAGCCCAAGCGCCGCAATCAGGGCGCTCCCCCACTCTCTGCAACTGGAGAGAGCCCTTGTGCAGCAAGGAAGACCCAGCACAGCTAAACATAAGTAAGTAATTTTTTTTTTTAAGAGAAGACAATGGACTCAGAATCCCACCCGGAATCTCCCTGACTCAGAGGTCACTTCCCCCTCCATGAGCTTTCATGCTCTCATCAAGCTGAAGGTCAATGGCACCCGTGGACCAATACACATACATCCAAATTTCATTCCTAGCACAGTAGCTCCTTACTGAGGCTGAGTACTTACTCCTCAAGGAAAGGGCTAAGGACAGTTTATTACTGGCCTGGGGCATGCTGCCAGATTTTAGAGTCACTTTTTGTTTCCAAATTGAACTCCAAGATCCACCTCAAGCATTTGACTTGTTCATCAGCCTAAGTGTTGGATTCCTCTCATGTGTCATTTAATATAACATCCCCTTGTGATGGATGGAATTGGTTGCCAAAAAGGTCTTCATCTCAAATCTTAGTTCTCTCAGTTATTAATTGTTTGAGGTTGAGCACATCACTGTGTCTCTCTGAGCTTCAGCTTCCTTATTTATAACACAAAGCTGGGAGATCACCTTAGCTCCTATGATCAGAAGCAGAGCCTCGAATCAGAGAACAGGACCGGTGCCTGGCCCGTAACAGGCATGCCCACAACTGTCTTGCCACTATACTTTTAAGAAATAGAGGAGTGTGCTGTGGAGGAGGGATTGTGGAACGACTTCCCAATGTCAGTCTGAAATCTGAAACCTAAACACATGTTCCACAATAACAAGCCTATTTCTGAGATCACACCCTCTGATGGATTTGTTCAAGAGTCACTTTACCCAACACACATATTTTGGCCTTTGATACCATTTGTTCCACTTGGCCTTTGTTCCACTTAAAAGGAACTACAACTCCTTGGAGAAATGACTGATCCCAGGACTGGTCAAGGAGTATATTCAAATCTGGAACATCCTGTCATTCCAAAGATCAGGGAAGCTACCCATCAGCATCTCTTACATCTGCATTGGCAGGCAGGCTCTTCACTACTGTGGCTCAGCTGGTAAAGAATCCGCCTGCAGTGTGGGAGACCTGGGTTTGATTGCTGGGTTGGGAAGACCCCCTTGAGAAGGGAAAGGCTACCCACTCCAGTATTCTGGTCTGGAGAATGCCATGAACTGTATAGTTCATGGGTCACAAAGAGTTGGACACGACTGAGTAACTTTCACTTCCACTTTTTCTTTACCACTAGCACCATCTGGGAAACCCAAAGACTGCTAGGTGTGTGTCAAAAGTACTTAGGGCCACCCCAAAGAGGCTCTGATTTGTATCAAATAAGACAATCTGGACAGCAAAAGGAAAAATATCTGCCATACATTAAAACAAACTGAATGTGTTTAAATCTGAGTTCAAAATTATTGATAAAAACCAAGAACACCTCATTGATCATCTTTGCAAGATACCAGGGAACTAAGTCATTATTTGAAAATAATTAACAGGAAAACATTATAATCTGCCTTCCCTAGGAAGGGCTCCACTGGGTATCCAAACTGTAAATGAGGGAACACCTCTCCATATAGAAGGACTGGAGCTAATACATAAAAGAACTGATTGAACCAATTTGCAAGCCTTGATGTGCTAATTGATCTAAGGCTTGGACATCAAAGGCTGTGAAGGTCAGGACAAGACACCACCAGACGTCGGATACCTCCTGCTGGAAGGACACACAGCCTGTGAAGTCTTGCCGGAAAGAGCAAACCGAATCTGCTCCAACCCTGAGGCCCAAGTATGGGTGTACAGGAAACATGGGGACCAGGAAGCACTGAGCTACTCTCTGAGCAACGTCCAGACCATGGGAAGCTCCGTAAGACCAAACAATAAATCTTTTTTCATCAATTAAAAAACTGCAATTTATAGATATCTAAACTTGAAATTTGATCCCCTCTACCTTGCTCCTCCTCCTATAGATATCTGTCTGAAGACACAGCACATTTTATTCTCCATCATCTTTTATCTGAAGGGCTCATGGGTACCAGGCTACATGCTGGGCTCCCAGGGCAGGTTCAAACACTTGCTTTGCCCTTCTCAGCAGACTGAGCCAGGCCCACTGTCTGAACCTCTCCAAGCCTGAGTGTCCTCATCTGTAAGCTGGACACAATCACAGTTCAGGCTCACAGGACCACTGTGAAGACTGAGAAGGCAATGCATTAAAAAGCCAGCACTGGAGCCTTGCCCATTTGTGTAAGCGCTCAGTAGGCCTTGGGAATTATTATTAGGAACCATAAAAAGCCTTGTCGAGATTAGAAAGAGCATTTTCAATTGGAAATGAGAGTAGAAATTTATTTAAAACCTTTTTTTTTCTTCCAACAACAGAGGAGTCCCCCTGAGACTTCAATCTAAAAGCCAAGATTGGGATATTTGGGATACTCAGCTCCTGATTATACAAGGGGCCCT